CTCTTTACCTATTGTAAATTGAATGTTCATGTCTCTTTACCTATTGGTACTTAAGTGTTCATGTCTCCTTACCTATTGGTTCTTGAATGTTAATGTCTCTTTACCTAGAAGTACTTAAGTGTTCATGTCTCTTTACCTATTGGTTCTTGAATGTTCATGTCTCTTTACCTACAAGTACTTAAGTGTTCATGTCTCCTTACCTATTGGTTCTTGAATGTTAATGTCTCTTTACCTAGAAGTACTTAAGTGTTCATGTCTCTTTACCTATTGGTTCTTGAATGTTAATGTCTCTTTACCTATTGGTACTTAAGTGTCCATGTCTCTTTACCTATTGGTACTTAAATGTTCATGTCTCTTTACCTATAAGTACTTCAGTTTTCATTTCTCTTTACTTTTTGGTACTCAAACTTAATGAACAAACACGTTTTCTACTGATCGTAGACGGTCGTTTATTCCAATTTTAAGTCTATATTCCAATTTGTATTATTTGGAAAGGAAAGCTTTCTTTAATTTTTAACCAATATATCTATGAAGTTACCAGAATGCCATATATTTTTATAATAACAGTTCAATTGTCCACAAATACATCTTCAAGTACATTTACAACAGAATTTGTAACAATATTTGGAAAAAAAAACTATCTCTATCAGAACAATGTTTTACAGATAAATCTTGAATATCTCAGAGGACAAAGTTCAGATACATTGTATCATATTGGTTATAAAGATCTCGGACAGGTTATATGGCCTCATAGGAATGGTATTATGCTTACATTACCCATGACACTAGGTTTATATAGCAAACTGAACAATTCATACACTACCATATAATATGTCAAAAGTCCTTGCAACAAATTTTTTATACAGCACAATTTCCTTCTTTGCATAAAATAGAAATTAATTCATCAATTTGCATCAGCCATGTTTATAGATAATATAAGTCACAATTGCCCAATGAAAATTGATGTTACAAATGGTCAGTACTGAGTATATATCATTTATATAATGAACTGGAAGACTAAATATCAGACTACAATTGTCATATTCAGCAGAACAATTGAGAACGACAAATGACATGTGTTTAAGACCACTCCAATAAAGACCACCCTGTTAATAGGGACTACTCTTTGACAAACTTTCATTGATAAAAATACAAAGAGTAAACTCTGAATAAAGACCACCTGTCAATAAAGAACATGCATGAGCTCTCCTTCAGTTGGCCTTGATAAAAAGTACAACAGAGTAAACTCTGAATAAAGACCACCTGTCTATAAAGGGCATGCATGATCTCTCCCTTGGTTGGCCTTTAATAATAAAAATACAACAGAGTAAACTCTGAGTAAAGACCACCTGTCAATAAAGAACATGCATGACCTCTCCTTCAGTTGGCCTTGATAAAAAGTACAACAGAGTAAACTCTGAATAAAGACCACCTGTCAATAAAGAACATGCATGACCTCTCCTTCAGTTGGCCTTGATAAAAAGTACAACAGAGTAAACTCTGAATAAAGACCACCTGTCTATAAAGGGCATGCATGATCTCTCCCTTGGTTGGCCTTTAATAATAAAAATACAACAGAGTAAACTCTGAATAAAGACCACCTGTCTATAAAGACATGCGTGATCTATACTTTGGATGGCCTTTATTAATAAAAATACAACAGATTAAACTCTGAATAAATACCACTTGTCTATAAAGGACATGCACGGTCTCTCCTTTTGATGGCCTTTATTCACAGGTTTCACTGTATACATAAGACAAGGTAATATGCTACTGACAGAAAGAAACCTTATTAAAGCTGACAGAGGTGACTGATCTCTTCCTTTTTACTTATCTCCATAAGCAAATAACAATAAAAGAGTAACCTAAGATTAGCGTATTTCATGTTAGCTTCTAGAATGCCTTCAATTTTCAGAATTCCCACAAAGCCAAAAGAGAAATATGTATAGTGCATTAAAGAAAGAAATTAGTACCCAATAACCTCAAGAAATATTCGTTTAAAAATCAATTTAATAAAAAAATAAATAATTAAAAAAAGATTTGAAGTGAAAAGTGAATTCATATGTTGAATTTCATATTTTTAGGTAATAATAAACTAAGCAGGCAAATTTGCATATAAAAATGTATAAGGTTGAAGGTTAAAAATGAACGTTATATAGAAAGGTCAAGGTCAGACTTACCTCTGACCCATTACATATTTGTAAGGTGTTCAGCAGGGTGATTATGGTGTTGGTTTGTACAGGTGTCACTACAGTGTAGTTTAAGGAGTGTATAGGATAATAATTTTCAAATATTGTTTACATATTACATCTTTCTACCAATTGCATATTACCTCGGCTTTTACAAATGTATTAAAAACAAGCCAATAATTTCAGTTATATATCTGCCTCCCTTAAAATCTATTACTTTTTTCAGTGACAGTCAATTTTGAAAATCTAACACCACCTCAAAAAGTAACATTTATCAAATGCCATTGATGAATATATTAGTAAATGAACTCTCATAATTGCGTGTAGCATACATTTAAAATGTGAAATTAACACAATTATAATGCCTCACACTTAACAATGTTTCTTTACTGATAAATGAGATATTGCACAATATTGAATTCTATATCAATAGCTAAAACAGCACACTGAAACACTAATACATCACATGGCTAGAGTTTTAATCTCCTAACACTTATTTGGAATAAAGGTTTTCTCATTCATGTGTAAAAAAAGGGTAACGGCGTTCATGTAATGGGTCAGAGTTCACTTGCTTGACCTTGAACTTCTACTGCCTTTCGTGTCCTGAAAGAAAAAGAGAGCTGTACTTCAATCAAACAGATTTAATCAACCATTTTAGAAAAAGCACATGAGCATGTTAATATGTATCTGTGTAAATAGAGGATATCTGTTTGTTTTGAGTGGATAAGGAATTTATATCTCAACGAGAAACGCAAAAGATTTAAAAAAATATTTTCTCTTTTTCGTTCCTATTACAACAAATTTATGTTCAAAATTTCCTCAAAACAAGGAAATCTCACAAGAAACAAAAAGTTTTCTAAAAACATTTTCAAGAGCGTGAAGGACTATTAGAAATATGCAAACGTTTTTTTTCCCCAAAGAAATTTACATTCCATATTCACTCAAAACAAGCAAATTATCTTTTCATCTTGCACCCTATTGTATTGCTTTTGTATTAAAACTAATCAGTTATTAACACAAAATGACACTTATTTATATGTCATGAAAATGTTTATATGTAAATAATGTTTTGCATTATACTTTTGTATAAGACGAAAAACCAAATTCTATATTTCACTCAGTTTTAAACAGTTTGATATGAAATTTCAAAAATTTCACAGAAATTTCAAAATAAACTAATATCACAAAATATATGTAAAGAAAAGTTTGTAACATTTGATCTATGGCTATCCCTTACAGCTATCCCTGAAAGTGAGAACTGTTTGCCATCAGTAAAGAACCAGGCCAGACTGCAAACCCCTACAACCTGACCCCACTCTAAACTGTTGGCTCACAAATGTCAAGTTTTATCTTTAAATCCCCAAAATTGACCATGAACAGTTCCAAAAATTGAAGCCACATAATTTCATTTTAAGAAAGCAGATTACACTATTATACATTCAAAGCAAGTGGAAATACATGTAGTTCAACACAACAGAATGATATCTTAGCTGAAGATTTATTCATGAAACAATATCAGAAATTTACACTTTGAACTCCAACAGCATTTTGTTCTAACTCATGTTGTTCCAGCAAAGGCATACAAGAAAATATAAACAATTAGCCTGCTGGCGGTAAAATAATCTTCTCAAGCAACCAGTGTAGACCAAAATAAAACAAGCACATCAATACACCTGATCTGTTCATGGTCTACATTGTTATTCATTCACAACAAATTTTGAAATTTTCCCTAAAAGTTATGAATGGTTTTATCAAGACTGAAAGTTCATTTCAGATATTTAGCATGTAAATGGGTTAAACACAACTTTAAAGACAGATACGCACATTTAGCAATATGAAGAGATGTTTTTTTTTACAGCTAAATCTTACATTTATATACAGGTGAAGAATCTAACAAAATGTATCTTTTCATAAAGCATTACACTAGTGTATGTAAGTGTTATAAAGTGAGCCTATGGCAGGCTTTTAAATCAATTTTGGAGGTTTAATTAAGTCCATAATGAAGTGACACCAAGTGATAAATATACATACATCAGACCTTTCATATTTTCTTTAAGTCATGTATCACTTCACTTTTAAATTACTGCTCAAGTAAATAAGTAAGTTATTTAGTGACTAAGTCTGAAATTGTAAGTTAATATTCTTTTTTTGCACTCTTGTATGATACAAATATGTACACAAGCAACATACATTAACCAAACCCTAGTATAAGCAGTTCTCCTTTAAAGTTTTAAAATGCAGCTAGGCATAACTGGGGGAAAAAAGGTATTCTAGTAGTTGAGAAATGTCCCTCACTCTACTTAAATCATTCAAGATGAAATTAACAAAGCTATTTTAACAAAGATTTGGCCTATGAAGTACAAGGGAGAGGATGGGCCAAAACATTGAGACAGAAATAGATTAACCAATATCTAGCGAAAGTAACAAAATCTCTCAACATGCTCAATTCTACTCTGAATATTGAAATAATATCTACACAGAAACTGTTCATAAAGAGATGAAGGTAAGAAGCAAACCAGTTATGATTTGGACCTATGATGATGCAATAATTTCATTGGAATACATTTAATAGTTAATAAGACATAAAGTTGCATGCAAAACCCTTAACCAAAGAGTTATGACAAGGCTGACATCTTTGTAGGAAGGATACCTTAAAGCTTCTTACTTTTTTCAAATATTCTAGGTAGTGACAATAAATCTCCACATACAGTGGAGACATTTCTCCACACAATGTGAGGAAATTACTCCACAATGTAAAGACATTACTGGCATAATGCTGAGATGTACAGTTAAAAAAGAGCTATGACTTACATGACAAAGATTCCGGAGTTGTACTTTGTACATAATTTGATGGAAACATGCCAGTTTGTCCGTTATATTCGCCTTGCCACCAATCTGGGTCGTCTTTTTTTATTACATTTATCACAGCGTCCTTCTGGAATGTCAGTTCATCTGCATGTTGGGATTGGTACGGGTATATGGCTATAACATGATCAACTGTAACAAATACATCCCTCGTTAATAATCCATCAAACTGTACTGCAGCATTTATAAAAACTTAGACACATTTACCAGCTTTAAGCTATGTTGCTCTTACTCGATCTTGATATGTAGAAGAAATGCATTGTTTATCACTTTTATTACAACTAGAAATAAAACAAAAGCTATTGCAGGTCACTGTGAGCTAGACTATTTCTGTACATTGTAAACAGTTGTTGATGAAGTAAAAACAGAGGCATTTGATAGCATATAAGACAAAAGGCTATTTAAAGACTTATGTTGTTTTTACTTCAAAAATGCAACAAAGACCAACAATAAGAATAAGTTTTAAAATTCTTTCCTATTAATTTACACTAAGTATATTGTTAGCAAGTGTAATCAAACAATATTACACTTATTGATGTATAATATTGTTCATGTTTATATCTCCACAACAGGTTATTGAATAGAATCTTAACAAACAATATATTTACCATAGGTTTGAGAGGTTGGCTGCGCTGTAGTGCTTATTTGTGGAGCAGGGCTCACCTGATGATACAAACACAAACAAACATTGTACATGGGAGATATAAATTTGTGAGTTTATAATATTACATAGAAAAGGAAATAGAAATGTACACACATTAATTTACAAGATCTGTAACCATTTAATTGAATAATACCTTGAAAAGTGACAGCTTAATCCCAAAATATTCAGTACAATATAGATAAGTATTTGAGTTGACTCAATTTTATTTTTTGACAATTAAAATTTATAATAAAAACTAAAGACTTACTGATGTTGTAATTGGAGAAGATTTCCCACCACCAGCCAGAGTGTTATCTGGAGTGGATCTAGCACTGCCACCTAGTAACTTCACATAATTAGCTGGAAACCAGCCAATCTTTCTCTTTTGGCCTCGGGCCTACAAATGAATACACAAATTAGTGGGAGGTAGTGAGGAAACTTAGTCTTGAAATGAATAAGTGGAGTCATGGTAATAACTGACTGGTACATAATAACATTCTGTCTTCCAACATACTGTTTAAAAAAAAAAAAAATATACATTAATGTTAACTTGACTAGTCAGAAATTTTGAATAAACTGTAAAAAGAAAGCATTCTTTTCAATATCTTAATATAAGTGAAAATGACAAACAATGGCATACTTGTAATTCTCCTTCCCACCAACCACTAGGACTTTTCTTTCGTACTTGTATCAGTTGACCAGGATGTAACGACAACTGTTCCTCTCCAGTGGCAGTGTAGGCCGCAATAACTGTTGCTATTTCTTGAATTAATATATGACAAAACTCATGTGAAGTTTGTATATTCATTTGGTTTATTTTAAGATGATTATAAAAATATTAGTCCTATCTTGACTGGTAATCCTTTCCTTTATAACTAACCAGCAATTATTAACTTCTTTGCAAGGACAGTCTACTAACTCCACATTCTTTTAACCGGAACTACACAGTTTTTTAACCAGAGGCTCACCTTTATTGAGCTTAGCAGACGGTAAAGAAAGTGCATTAATAACCTTGAGAATTTGTGACTATGACATCATTCACTTACACAAACTGAAAATCTTACTCTTACTGCAACATATTACCAAACCATTACAACAGAAGTTCACCAAATGATTTTTTTCCCCTCTTAAGATAATTATCATAAAAGCAGGAACATACCTGGCTTTTTTAAAGTGCCTGTTAGAGAGCCACTTGCTGCTGCTGGTGTTGTTATAGTTGGTGTGGTACTACTTGGAGGTGATTTTATCTGAAACATTAACCCAGCATGATAAGTATGTATTGATATTGAAATAATTACAAACTTGGTAAATTTCGACAAGATTTCTATCACAACAAAAAGAAATAGTGATTTTAAGTTAATAAATAGAATAACATGCATTGCTAAACAATTTTCTATCCAAGGTTATATCCAAGGTTAAGAAACTACTAGTATTATTTTACGTATTTATTACATCACCCATCCCCAAAAGAGAAAGGTAATTGTATTTAGCCCTTAACCTGCTGAATTTCTGTACACAGACAGTCAGTCAGTCTTCCATTTTTGAAATAATCCTGTATCAATCTTGCAGAATTTCATGATGAAAATAGGAAGTTGGTTAGCCAACAGTATAGAGCCTGGCAGGACTACACAGAAGTGCAGGCTGGCTTGCCTCTATACTGTTGGCAAAGACTAATCACTGTTGGTTCCAGAAGGTTAAGGGTTAAAAACCAAACTGTATTTTATGAATTCAAAGTTTCCGGATTTAAGCAGAATCATGTTTACTTTTTATTATGGCACCGAATGAAACATCTATTTAGTATTTACCTATTTTATAAATATTTGTTTCTATGGGAATAAATAAAAGTACAAATACATAGTATCAAATTATTGTTGGATCCCACTTCATCTATTTTTGCTTATATGAAAATTATTTGCACAAGTTGACAAATAAAATCAAATCAACTTAAATTAAATTTAAAATACATTAATTATTATAATTAAAACATGAAGAGTATTTAATTTTGTACACAAAGCTTGAACACTTTTTGTCATTTACTAAATATTTATCTTTTATGCACAATTTATTAACATAGTACTTTTTGACACAAGTGTACAAAATTATTTGCATTTGTTTGTAAACAGGGAAGTGTAATTGAGGTAGCCATTAAAGCTGATAAAACATCAGGAATTAGGGTTATAGGGTTATGATTTTCACAAAATGTTTGAAGTTTGATATTTATTGGATGTGTACATGTATCAGATGTCATTTTCTAATGATGAAGACTTGTGTTGACTTGAATCTTAATGAATACAAATAATTGAAACAAAAAACTATATTCTAACAGTGTAAATGGCTGTGGTTATGGTTGTGCAAATAATGGTGTAGAGAGAAAGGATCATGATGATGTACGCTACAGGGAGACGAGGGGGGCAGGAATTCTATACTTCAGATATGTGTAAGTTCAAGGACTCTCGGGGATATCAATCAAAAATGTCCTCACATCAATTTTGTTAGTTGTATCATTGTTATTCCCAAAGCTCTCACAAGATTTGTCGTCAAGATTTAGTTTATTTTCACTATCATTTTCAGCCTCTGATTGTTTCTCAGAGATTGGAAACAATCCAAGGTTAGATAACTCTTTACCTTGAGGACTGGGACTGGCAAGGGAGTCTTTAACTCCAAATGACAAGGTTAAAGATTCTGTTGTTGGTGAGGTGACATTTTGAAAATTAGTGACATCAGAACCAATTTCTCCAAAAGCCTGTAAATTGAACAAGGACTCTGAAGTTTGGCTCGATATACCCACAGAACTTGTAGTGACCTGGGCACTAATCAGTGATCCAAGGTCAGTTTGAGTCAGTGAAGTATCAGCATCTCTTTCCATGGACTCTAACCAATCATTAGAAGGGGCGGGTAATGATGAAGATTCATTTGTGGGATCAGCATCTAAAAACGCAGCATATGGATCACTAGAAGTGGAGGTCAAATTCTGACCTAATGCATTATTCTGACCTGATTGATCACTTAATGTCAGTGTTGATAAATCACTAACAGAGACAAATGGGTCTTTATTTAACACTTTATCTGTGAAACCCATGTCATCTTGACCTAAACCAGAAAATGGGTCCTCGGTAAAAGCTACTGCTCCATCTGAACTCCCTAAATTTTGAAATGGATCCTCGGAAAAATCATTGCCAAGACCAAATTTCACATCATTTCCTAAACTAGGTGATGTATTAACATGATCACTAGAAAATGGGTCATTTTGTGCTTCCACATTACTTTGACTTGACAGGGGCTGGGACTTGTTAGATGTTAGTCCAAATGGCTACAAATAAAATATATCATAATAGAGTGAGACATTAAGAAAAATAATAAAACTAAATATAAAATTCTGCTTTACAACAAACAAATATGTGTTTGCATTAACCAAACTTGAAATATATTTATAAACACAGATTATTTAGTGCTCAATAAATATATAGTGACAAGAAATACCGTTCACTGATAAAAACAAATAAATTGTTTTACATAGTATCGAGCCGCTACTCCGCATTCCTGTGATCATCACTATGCGCAATCCTTGGGCATTGTTCTGGATCCATGCCGGATTTTGGGTAATCGACTTTCTCTAACTAGCATTTAGCGTTGGTTAGCTGTACATCAGTATGGATCCTCGATTCAGATATGTGCTCGGGATGTGGACAGATATTCTGAGTATACCATGCATGATGGTCGCAAACCATTATAATTAGATTTGTCTCATGAAGCGCTCAGAAATATTATCAATTTCCATAAAACATGACACATACCTGTACTTCATGAGGTTTGACATAGTTAGCGGGGAAAATTCCGGTCCTGTCCCCTATACTTCCTGTCCACCAATCGCCATCTTTCTTTGTTACTAGAATTATCTCCCCTACATTGAATGTTAAATCTCCAGGCTCAGATGACTGGTATGAGTACACACCTATACATGTATCTGTTATATAGAAAACAGAGACAAAGAATCAAAAACAGACTGCAAGCCATGTCACAATGAAGTAAAATCTAGTTAACCTAATTTCAGCAATACAGAAAGTGATGATCTAGAGGTTTGGGTAATTGAGTATTGAGTAATAATGTGCTAGATCAGTGTTGTATTTCAAGCCTCTATATTATAGTCAGTTTACTTTTAGTACATTGTTATTGAAATTCATTAAACTATTAAATGTTCCATATTTAAAACAGGATAATTACATATGTAAAGTAATAAGGCAGATAGTTTAATCTCGTACATAAAACATACATTTAAAAATATCACAACAATAAAAGAATGTTATATACACGTACCTCCAGCAGGTTTCTCCATGGCTGGTGAAGCTCGAGCACTACCAGACAGCGAGCTGGAAGGTGTTCCAGAAGTCACTAACGTCGAAACAGGAGAATCTGACTTGATCCCGGTCAAAATGTTTGTTGGTGTAGGTCCACTCATCAATCTAACATAGGACTTTGGGAACCAGCCGGTCTGTTAATATATGACAGGATTATGACAATCTTCTATCTCCGTTCAGACTAAAACTGATCTTACTTAATTCAAACCCCTATACATCACAATGGACAGTTCCAAAATTTCTTGCCTATGGTGCCAACATATATTCAGACTAGTCTGCTTTAAAAACCTCTTTAATTTTAACTGCTGAACTAAAATAAGCATTGAAACTTCTCTAAATTTTAATGGAAAATTAAAAAATTTTAGGGGACATACGATGGTTAATTGTACAAATACTTACCTTGCCGCCAACTTCTCCTGACCACCACATATCCTGCTGTTCCTTTACTAGTATTATATCTCCTTTATTAAATGTTAGGTGATTTTCTTTCTTTGCTTTCCATGGATACAAGGCTTGAGCCTGCAGACCTTCTGGTGCTGTTTGACCCTAATAATTGTGTAATTTCAATAAATCTTTGTGAACTTTAAAAGAAGATCCGACTAATTTCTTCAAAAAAAAGCCGTATGGTCAATGTGAATTTACTTCCCTTTAGTAAATGTCAGTCGATAGCTGAAGAAATCAAAATAAATTCATTTAGTGATATTAATGCCACACAACTTATTAGAAAAGCTACACATTTTAATTAAAAACAAATATAGCTAATCTCTTTAAAATTGTCTGGAATTTCACGTCAAGTATAAAATTTAGATTCAAAGATATTATTCCATATAGGAGAAACTAAACTTATCAAGATGAATAATATAATTGAATCTAGTATTGATATTGGGAAATTTTTTAAGAAGGAAAACACTCACTTGACCAGGTGTTGGTGAAACAGCTGGCATTTTGCCAGGAACAGAAATAAATGAGGAGTCTTCTGATGTACTGATACCCGATGTAGCATCACTAGACTGGAACACAGATTGACTAGATTCTTCTACTTTTTCTACATACGCTTCTGGGAACCAGCCACATTTGCCATTCATCTCTCCGCCTCTCCATCCAGGCTCCGCCCCAGTCTGGTCGTCAAAGACCTACATGTACAATATTAATAATCACAAATATAAGTTATCATGTGACATGACACTCTTTCCAATAATAGGTGAATATTAAAAAGAAGTATTAGCTGAAATACCTCAAGGATCCCCCCCGGCATTATTTCAGGCACAAGCGGACTCTAGAGTAGAACTAACAACTGATGTGCGCTATTTGGATTTTTTTTCATCACATAAAACAATCCAAAGTCCCTCATGGAAATTCAACAGGCAGCAGGGAGAGGCATGTGATTTAAAATCAACAACCTTAACCACCCAGCCATTGAGGCCGTTACACTATATTTAAATATAGTAAAACTATTTAACATTCAAAACATTTTGTTTTGGTTGCTTTGCTTTTCAAAAGTTAGTATAATATAAAGATGTTTTTAAAATTGAAACCATAAAACAATGATGACCTATAATTCATCAGTGATTTAAACATCAGCATGTCATTCACATAAAAACAATCAAATCACTCAAGCTATGCTCTTGTGAATTTCATTTTTTTTCTAAAGTGAACTACCAATATATCTTAATAACTGTTAACTATAGGTAAATAGGGAATAAAATACAGGTGTACTTTTCTGATTACATTTATCCCTCATGATGATCAATGGTAGTTGTATTCTTTTATGTCCAAACAGGAGATACATTTTGAAACATAGATGCCAGAATTATGAACTCTATCATATGTTAATATATGGAACAAACAATTTGTAAAATTGGAATAAATAGCAATATTAAATACATTCAGTAATATAAAACAGAGAGAGAAGATAATAAAAACAAACTTGAATATTTAACTCTGGACAAGATAATGTGGATGCTGGGGTGAGGACAGCTCCATTTATTATGTTTATTTATCCGCCTAATGATATCCATAGGCATTCTGTGCATATAACAATCTATGCTGCGAATGAAATGGAAATGTAAGGTTATTTTTAAATCATTCAAGGACTCAATATACCACCTAGCAACCAACTTCTTTTCAATAACGAGTATTATCATTATTATCTCTATTTTAATATCTCCATAGCTGAAGGTCATAAATCAGGACATGGACTTACCATAACGGTATCTCCGGGAGTAAGAGATAATTCATCTGGATTTCTGGCATCAAACTGATAAACTGCTTTAAATATCTGTTTTGATCCAGATAACTTGAAATTCTGTTGATCTAAACAATTATAAAATAAATAAAATAATAATCACAATACAATTTAAAATCAAAATTTCTCATTTATATTAATAATTTATAAATAACTTCCTGGATTTCATATTAATGTGAACAAAAAACAAGAGCTGTCGGTAGGACAGCAACGCTCGACTATTCTTAGTGCTTGATAGTAAAAAAAGCCTTGATTAAAAGGTAAAATTTTCTCAGTAAAGAAAAAGGCAAAATTTTTCTTTAAATCCATATTACAGTTATAGGCATTGAAGAGAGTCCTATTATGCTCTCAAAGAAGAGTATAAAATTTCAACATGTTTCAAAGCCTTATGTCAATGAACTTTGAAAATATTTGAGGTATTACAAAAACTTTAACGTAAATTCTAAGTCGAAAAAGGGGCATAATTCTGTCAAAATGCTTGATAGAGTTACCTTCTCCTGTCTACAGGTTGGGGTCATGATGGTGAACAAGTGTGCAAAGTTTCAAAGCCATTTGTCAATGGACTTTGAAAATATTTAAGGTATTACAAAAACTTTAACATAAGTGGTTACGCCGACGCTCAGGTGACTACAATAGCTCTACTTATTCTTATCGAATAGTCGAGCTAAAAATTGTAACATATCTAAACATTTCTTTTACTTTCCTTTTATTGTACACATGTCAACAATACAACACAATAGATCTAAAAGCAACTACTTAACCAATTAACATAAAGCATCACTAGGTGACAGTATTGACAACTGCATTTATTAAAGGGACATCACTGTTTTTTTTTTCAAAATGATGGGACTGGAAATAATTTTTCTGAGATTAATCCTCCATTTGATGTAGGTCTAGACCATTAAATCGCATGCAACATTTCAGATCATTCTCTCAATCTGTTTTTTTTTAGAATAATTATTGTAATTGTAACAATGACCCAAAATAATATCAGCTATAAATAGTCTAACCATTATTTGTTGTAGAATTAGAAGTTTGACTAGAAAATTCTGCACTCCAACCAGCAGATATCCCATCATCTGATGACTTATTATCAAATACAGATGCCCAGTTATCATTACTGCTAGCTGTCGTCTTTGTATCGCCACCAAAATTGAACCAATTATCACCACCCGAGTTCAATGGTTTTGTCATGTCAGGAACTGCAGTCTTCTTTTCTGATTCTTCTCTATAACAATGTATCAATGTAAAATAAGTTAATATTTCTTTTAAATCTAGATTTCATCAAAAACAATGGCATTTGACATCATGATTTTCTGGTTAACAATGATTATTTCTGTAATTATAGATACTTTAAACATGAATATAGTTAAATTTGATGACTGCCCATATTTACAATACAATGTATGAATATTTGAAATACGAATAAAGATCCATTGTTTCTTTTTAAATGGAATGTAACATGACCTTGAAACCAAATCCTCACCAGAGTCTTGATTTACCAACATATGGGGTTAGGTTTTCAGTCATTTTGACATTGTAGAGGCCTTGTAGCAACATTCCAATAAAGGTGCCCCCCCATGCATTTATTTTTAGCACAGTAGAACTATGACCCTTCTGTAAACTAGTGGGAAAGCTTCCCTACACGAAAGAATCTGAAGTATACGGTGAAACCGACGGACAAGGTCAATTAACAGTCAAGGTCATATCAAAATAATTCAACATGTTGGTTTTGTCATATGTGTACTTTTGTCTAAGTCTGAATCAAATCCGAAAATAAAGTAACAAAATTTCGACAATTAAATCAAATTTTCATAATTTGACCTTGACAGTCAAGGTCAAAATTGAAGATTAAGGCCATATTTGAATTATTCCACATCTCTGTTAGTCATAAGGGTTTTTTTTGTCCAAGAAAAAAAAAAGATGAGAAACAGCCAATAATTAGCCAATAACCAATCTTTTACAATTTATACCTTAGTCTTTGTGCCTCTAATTCTTTTCTCACTGCATCATGTTTATCCTTCTCTTTCTTCTGTCTATCTTCTTCTTGTTTGACTCTTTCACTCTCTTTATGACTCTTCTCTGCTTTACTAATATCATTTTGTAACTGGCTTAGAGTCTTATTTAATTCCTGGCAAAGAAATAATGACAGAACATTATGGCCATTTCTGTTGAATAGACTACTCCATTTATCAATTGTCGATACATCACTGTAGAGATTACATGGTGACTTTCCTGCTTTAAAGGAGAAGGAAGACAGTGTGTGCTCTTTATTACTCGATATCAAGTACAAAAAGGGCACGGGTTTGAATCTAAACTTCTGTAAGCTGCCATTTTAAATTTCCCTTACATGAAAAAAATAAAAAGTTCTGATGGGAAATTAAAACCCAAAACACATTTGAGGATGAGGAACAATAAAAATCTGTTTTGTTGTTTGGTTTGGATTTTAAAACACACCCGAAAGAACGTTCATAAGGGGACTTCCATTTAAATGGGAGAAAGACATCCCAAAGCCCCCTTAAACGTGTACTATTTTTTAGGAATGAGCAGGAAACTTAGTAGAACTACCGACCTTCCTTAAGTTAACTAGATAGCTTCCTCACAAGGAAGCATCCAAAGTCTCTGAAGGAATTGGATCCCACCGCAGTGAGAGGGAAGATATTTGAAGATTGGCAACCTTAAACAATCTGCCAAATACAATATACAATAAGTCAATAGAAAAAACAGTACTTACAGATAACTGTGTATTTTGAGCATCTATTTCAGCTAATCTTATTCCTGTGTCTTTCTCTACTTGTTCAATATCTTTTTTCAACTTTTGTACTGACATTTTCTTTAATTCTACACTGTGCATCATGGTCCTGTGTGTTTCAGCTGAAATATATAAAAAATGTACTTACAGCATTATTATTCTTATTTATTCTTAAACTGCTGAAACTGAGTGTTCAGTCATTGATACCAGTTCAGAGCCGGGCCAGTCCATACATCCATGCACTCTGATGGTTCCTGGCCAAGCTCTTAACTAAAAGTAGCTCAATTTTAATATTTTGATAAACTGTTCCAGATTCAAAGATGAGCAAATCTTATACACAAATTCAGCAGGTCAGTAGTTAATTCTTCAAATGCTAGCCACAATGATAATTTGTCTACACAATAAACCTAATGAATATAGACTTTCAAACTAATTTACTAAATGATTTGAACAATAAACCTTTAAAGGGAAACATTGTAAAATAGGATAACTTACACATAGGGTTAGCCTGTACTGTAGTCTGTACTCTCAAATCAAGTGTTTGTCTCTCTGACTGTAATTGTGCCAGTCTCTGGTTTACCTCCTGTATAAAATTACATTTGTACATTATGATATAACATATACACTATACTAGATCCTGTACTTAAATACATTCATTATCACATAATATATACACTATACTGGATCCTGTACAACAATACATACATTATTACATAACATATAGACTATACTGGATATTATATCAAATGATTAAGACATTATTTATATTGTTTTGCAACACAATATTGCTAATATGGTGTTGAAATAGGAAAGATGATTTTGGCTAACCTTGGGTGTTTTTTGTTTTGTTTGGTTTGGTTTTACAACAACACATTATAGGTCTGTTACGTCATATGGCACGTAATCAGGAAAGATGATTTTGGCTATAAACGGTGGTTGTGATTCTGATGCCACAACCATTGAAGACATTTCCACAGTCACATGGGGGTAATGAAGACATCTTGTTTTTTTTTATTTTTCTTTGATTAAGTTTTTCACAAGGGCAATGGACAACCTGCAGGCAACAATAAGCTTGCTTTTTTTTTTGAAAAAAGCTTTAATTTATTAAATACCCGTTCATCAATTTCTAACAAAAGATTGGAACGAAAAAGTCCATACAAATTTGGTGACTCAAATCTCTTTAAGAAGATCATACATTCTCTTAAGGCCTGGTTAGCACTTGATTTCAACAATAATGATCTTTCAGTTGTTGTTTTGTTTTTCTTCTTTGTCTATCACTTACTTGTATCTCACCCTGTAGTCTATCTATATCATTATTTTTCAGGTCTCTCGTACTTCTCATGGCTTCAATATGGGCAGTAAAATCAGTTACCCCATTCTTTACCTGTGATATCTTTGTGCTGATTTCTGTCTTTTTACCTTGCTAAAATAAATACAAAAGAGCAACCAATGTTTAAATAGTATAGCATTCAGCATAGCTAACATAAATGTTGATGTCAAAAAACAAATAAAAAATCTAAATGTTACATTTTTCAGCATCTCAAATATAAATTTTGGTACAAGAAATAGCAAAAGCTAAATGGTAAAATTGCTAAAAAAAATATTTCTTTTATCAATCTCAAAGGAAAAATAAGTAAACTTTGATTAAAACTTTCAAAAATTTCTATCACTTTAAAGTCTTAAAAGTCAAATTGGATTGCAAAGCATGTGACTTATCTTTCATATACATGTGTTTTTAGATGTAATGTAATTTTCCAGAACCAGTACAAATGCTTGAAATACAGTCTGGTATGCGAGAGACTCGGTGCAAAAATGTTGTATCTCCTTCTTTATGTCATATGAGTTACAGCAATATGTTGCACAAAGCCCTCGATGTGTAGTTTCAATCAAGTTTCACATTTCCAATGGAAAAATAAATATATATACACAATGTATTAACTTACTAGTGACTCCAGCTCACAATTGAGATTACTAGATCTTGATTTAAGGGCCATCAATTGCTCATATTCTCTTCCTTTCTCTGCCATCAATTGTTCTTTTCTCTGTCTTTCCCATTCCATCTGTCTCTGCCTCTCAAGTTCTCTCCTAGCAGTCTGTATATACAAAACATAAAGTCTGTATTTATAACATTTCAAATGAGCATTCTCTGTTTCTTGAGCTTATACATTGTATTTATCTAAGCTTTGTTGTGAAACAAATTCTTGCAACTTGTATTAACCACTGCTTATGAGTAATCATATATCAATAGACGGCCGTGTTAATAGGAAATAATTTTTTGGTGGCAGAATAACAAGAAATAACATTTTGGATGTTTGATTTTATGCCTCCAGTTGAGCAAAAAAAATTCAAGAGAATCAACCTGGAGAAAAATGTAATAAAAAGTTAAGAAAAGTAAAAATATTCACAATGCTAGTAATGAGTTGCATATTATATGCTATGAATGACTGACTTTGCAGGATTTATCTCCATATTTCTACTGCAGGACACAGTGAGGGCTATTTTTTAAATATTTTGACATTTATTTGGTTATTTACATGGAATGCAAGTGTTGTTTACAATGTGTAAAATACTCTCTTTGTTCCCCTGAGAATATTTTACATTTTGCATAAAAATGCATTTTCAAAATTTTCATGAAAATTAGCATTAATTTCGAGGTATGATGCTTTAAAGTAGCTGTAATTGATTCAGTACAAAGCATATTGATGATACATCAATATCTGATGACAAATATCTGCGATACACCCATATAACAATAAATACTTCTAGTTTCTGGTATATAATTCACTTTCATACAAGTTTCAATGATTATAGTAAAATACACGTTCTGTTCATACAAATATGTTGTGTACTGTTTATAAATATCCTTTGCATGATTTTTTTCTGAGCATTTTTTGTCATCACTGCTATGAAATTTGTCCATTTATGTAACAACAGCTTAGTGTTAGACATGGCCACCTGCTTAAGAATACTTTTTGGGTGAATTTTCATACTAAACAGACATTTAAATAAATAAGCAAAGTTTTCGATATTTTCAAATGTGTATCAATTATGGATCGGCAGAAAAATATCAACGATACATCGATATCGTCTATATCGATGACAGCTGTACTTAAAAGGAACTATTATTTAAGATAAAGATTAGAAATGGCTATTATTATATGAAGTAAAGAACCTCTCTCTGCTCCATCATTTTCTGTCTTTGTTCTTCTCTCTGTCTCTCTATTTCACGTTGTTTCTCCAACTGTCTTTCTAACTCTTGCTGCTTCTTTCTTTCTTGTTCTTGTCTATAAAAAAACAACAACATAACTTTAAGATCATCACAATTCCTGAACATTAAATCCTTAATCTATCAAATGGGCTAGCCCAAGTTCTATTTTTTGGAACTGTCCATTATCAATTTTGGGGATATAAGAATAAAAATTTTAAGTTGGTCAACCAACAGTATAGAGCCTAGTCACAATGCAAATATGTGCAGGCTGGCCTGGTTCTATACTGGTGGCAAAGGCTAATCATTTCTGGTTCCAGCAGTGTACAGAATAAGGGTCAAGTTTATTTTTTCTTTCATGTTATTATCTAAAACTTTTTTTTCAGGTGTGTTCTGCATGAACATCATTAAATGATTTAGGATAACTTTATGGCATTCTGGCAAAAAAATGCTAAACAACACATGTATAAAACAATGTAACAAGGAAACATGATTCTGTTAAAATTAGCAAATTCCAATTTTTTCAATATCTTTTAAGGTAAATATTTTTTTTAGAGTTCTAGGGTTCTTGATTAAAAAAAATAAATAAAATACCAAGTACTATTTACAAGATTTAAAAGTAAAAAAATACTGAGTAATATTTACAAGATTTAAAAGTAAAAAAACAATCTTTTTTTTAAAACTAATAATAATTCTTTATAATTCTTGCTAAAACTGGTTTTTGTTTAAGACATCAACCAATATGCCTAATACCTAGGCCCCATGTTAAAAAGTGAAAGATTCTGAGCCTTAAGAATCATTTCAGTGTCTCAAACCTTTGTTTTTCTCTTTTCTCCTGTTCTTTCCTTTCTTTCTCCATCCTAGCCTCTTCTTCTTTCCGTAACTGATCTTGTAACATTTGTCGCCGCCTTTCTAACTCAGCTTGACCCTTGTCAAAATTCTCCTTACGACGATCTTCAAATGTTACTAAAATATAAACAAACAGTTATTATGACAAAATTCATGGAGGTGAAATGGCAGACTTGTCTCCGAGATGAGCTCTGTGTGGTTTAAAGGGGTTAGAATCTGCTTCACTTCTTATGTAGGAAAACTATATTGCCACCAATACTGGAATGTAAAAGAAATGACTAAAAGTAGCGGGTTGCCCTTAACATATTCAAGGGGAATTTTTACTTGCCTATTTTTACCATTATTCAACATATTTACAGAAGGCAAGGGTAAATGTTTTTAACAAGTCTGGGCTGCTTTTAGATGGGAAGGTAAACTTGCATGAAGGATTCAAACAAAAGAAGTCATTAGTAATCAAGACATATCTTATGGTGTCAGAATATCTTACAGGATAAAGATATCACTTATCAAGACACATGCCTAGATATCAGTTATTAAGATAGATGCCTAACTGGGAATGATGACTTACAGAGAATAATGTCAAAGGGAAAATTGACCTTTCTGACAGAGTTTGTACACCTCAGAGTTTAAAGTTAATCAGTTTGCTTGACATACCTGGTGAGATATCAATTTCTTCTTGTTTAGTTTCACCATTAGCTACAGGTGTTGGTTGTACTGGCGCAGGCATTCCCATAGTTCCTACCAGATCACCAAAACTGTCCTTCTGGCCGGCAATGGCTGAAATATTCATAAACTTTTTTTTAACATTATTTAAGCTTGATCATGAAAACAGATAGTAGCCTATTTAAACCACTCTTGAAATTTACTTCCTGGAATACGTCAGTACTGTTGTCACATGAGAAGACATGGTTGTGACTGAGGACTTGAAGTCAATTTCTCTGAATTAAGAAGTAGACATTGCTGTCTCATTTATACAGTCTACCAAAGGAAACAGAACTGCTCCATGATGCATGTATTTATATTGATATTTTAATAAAGTTTTCAAAAAATCATAGTTCGAAAGGGAGAAACAACTTACGAGGCTGAGCAACTGGGGGTGGGGTCCCAAAGCTTCCCGTCCTCGCTTTGCCAGGTAGTAACTCAGCTGGTAGCTTCACAGGAAGTGGTTGACCAATCTTTACAACATCTATAAGGTGCATAGCTATACAAAATTCATCACAGTTCAACTTGCCATCTTTATCCACATCAGAAAGGTTCCTAGATGGAAAACAAGAAAATTTGGTGAAAAGGTATACATGTACCTGATACATGAAAACATTAACATTTTACAAAAACACTTGTCCTTTTTTTGTAAGTTTTCATACACAAGAATTTTGAATGAAACCAACCCAGATATATGTACCTCTAACATAGCAATGTCCAGCAATATTTGAAGAGAATACAACAAATGTGTATTAACTATTATTCTTGTAAGGGGTTTACCTCAAGTTAATTGTGTAAAGCTGTATTTATAGAGCATCCAGGAAATGTATGCACTTACCATATCTGAGCTAACATCTGTTGAGGGACTCCTGTGTTCACTAAAATAGATCTTGCCTCCACACCTTCAAATGTAAATATATAGTTCAAATATCAATTACAGAATGATAATCCAAGCACTATATTGAGATTATATGAATACTTTTATTCTAATAGAAATCATAAGCTCTATTTGTGTCAACACAAAGTTTCCTCATTACACATCAGAATTTATTACTTCAGTTGACATACCAGAGTGGTTAAAAATTACTTAATTTCTTTTATCACTCTCAAGCTAGAATAAATACAAATGTATCTTTAAACTAAATATATTAAAAATGTTCATAGAGTACTTCGTACAAGAAGGCCATGATTGCCCTTAATCATGGCCCCTAAACTGCTTCATCTAAAAATGGTTTAAGACACTATAAAGTTTGTCACTTGTTTTTCTAACATTTGTTCAATGAAGACCAAATTTTCATGTATCTTTGGTCTAATTTGTGACCTATTTTACTCAAAAATGTTTGAGGTGTCTTCTAATAATTTTTTTAAATATCAAGTAACAAAATAATCTACAAACATTCTGACTTACTGACTTCCTATTGTAAGCAAACAATTATACTGTTTACCCCTTCTCCTGTGAAAAGGCCACAACAATTATATAAGGCCACAACAATTATTCTTATCATGAAACAACAGGCCCTACATCCCCAGGTTATAGCTGGGACTTCAAATTTTGGATCTTCAGACCACTCATATAGACCCCACAATATTATCGCATTGAGCTGGGGAAAAAATCATTTTCCATCCATTGCCCATCCCTCCCCGAGAGTGGATGGGCCTTGGTTACAATTGACATATGCATAATGAATGTGAAAATACAACATACCGGTAAGAGATCCTCTTTTATTCCTATCATGAGTGTTAAATAGTTGAGTATATTTCAGCTTACTATTATGTGGCATTGCCAAATTTCCAGCCCTGGAGACGAAAAAACAATAAGAATGTCATGATGAAGGTTTAACTGCAAAAAAATATGAGCTGGTGACAAAGTTTATTAACAAGAGCTGTCCGTAAGACAGCGCGCTCGACTTTTTTATTGCTTGCCAATAAAAAAAGTTTTTGCAGTAAAAGGCAATACAAGAATCTCTGTATTTTTAAAGTGAACTAGTTGTTTGATACCCTTGAATATTACAGCAATGTTTATATGACATAATTTATGGTAAAGTGAACAAGTGGATAGGAATGAATTTTTTTAGATTTTTTAAGTTTTTTAGTGCTTGCCTATAATACAAAACATTGACAGTTAAGGGCCATAATTCAAATAAAATCTTTGACAGAATTACCTTCTCCTGGACATGTTTGGGAATCATGATTGTAAACAAGTATTCCAACTTTCAAATTAATATCTCAAACAGTTCAGTCAAAAAGTGGACTGGTACTAAAAACTTAACCAAGATTCTAAGTCGATAAAAGGCCTTAATTTTTAAAACAAATCCTTGACAGAGTTACCTTCTCTTGCGTACAGATGGGGGTAATGATGTGAAATAGCATTAAAAGTTTCAAAGCAATATCTCAAAGGGTTAAGGCAATAAGTGGATTTTACCCATATTCAATGTATTTTCTAAGTCAAAAAAAAGGGGCATAATTCTGTCAAAAACCTTGACAGAGTTTATGTCCTCTTGTCTGTTGATGAAGGTCGTGATGGTAAACAAGTATGGTCAGTTTCAAAGCAATACCTCCAATGGTTTTGAAATAAAGTGAGGTGGTACAAAAAACTTAACCAAGCTCAATACACTTTCTAAGTCAAAAAAGGGCCATAATTCTGTCAAAAACCTTGACAGAGTTATGTACTCTTGTCTGTAGATGGAGGTTATGATGGTGAACAAGTATGGTAAGTTTCAAAGCCATACTTGTAATACTTCTGAAATAAAGTGGGGTGGTACGAAAAACTTAACCAAGGTGTGACGCCAACGCTAACGCCGACGCCGGGGCGAGTAGGATAGCTCCCCTTTTCATAGAAAAGTCGAGCTAAAAAGGTATAATCAATTGAACTTGTCCTAGATATTAGGACACTTTTAGCTATTCACACACTGACAGAGCACTTGGTCAGAACAATGTTAACAACAATTAATAAAACACCTAGCTGAAAAAAGACAGATTTCTTCATTGATGGCTGTTGCAGTATTAAATGAATAAAACAAAGTCTCTGACCATAACATCTATGTCAACTTCTTTGATGCCACCTTTGTCAATTGTTTTTTTAAAAATAATTTTATTGTTAATTTGAATTCTTTTATCATTAAATATGAATCAAAATTTTTAAAATTCTCACCCTGCAGGTGCCGAGCCAGGGACCCCTGCATGCCGGACTGGCATTGCTCCACTGAATCCTGTTGACACCGGCACTCCAGGAGCACCTGTTAAATAAACAACATAAGTTTGATTATATCTTTTAAGTGATGAAAGACAGTTTTTACCTCCATTTAGAAGCTGAAACTTTTCACAAAACAAGGACACATGTTGGTTCTAGGTACTTGACTTTCTTTCCCCTTGATGAATTAAATGTGTTTATATATTTTCAATGAATTATTCTTGTAGGCAAAGGAAATAAATTGTTCCCAAACAAAGTATATAAGTATTAAACTGGTATTTCTAGCAAGTTAATCAACACTTTCAAACTTAACATTTTATCAGAAATCAACAAACACTATCGGTTAAATAAAGTTACTTTCAACTACCGTTCATGAACAGATTCAATTAAACCATGCCTGCAACATTTTGAATTCTGTCGCTTTTGAATGTTTTTAAAGGATTCCATTTCTATTTCTATTACTATTTTAGTATAATTTTTATGAAGATAAAATCAATAATTCTTGTAATAACATGCAGCCAAATATACCTTTTTACACTTTAATTAAACTCAATTCTTATCCAAATATATTCCTTATTAGTAAAATTAATAAACAAAAATCTTACTCTTTTCTTCCATCTTAGTCATTTTCTTCTACTTCTACACTTGTTCATACATTACAACAAAATAAACTCTCACCATTTTTTGCTAAACTACTTACCCATAAATCCAGTGGGCTGACCCATTTGTTGCATGCCATTGACCATCATTGGCATTCTCTGGCCCATTGACATAGCAACAGGAGGTGCCATTCCCATAGGAGGGATGCCTGGTAAGTGCAGTGAATGTGCATTATATATAATAGAATACAGAGAAAACTGTCAGAAACAAGGAACAGGGAGGTAGGTCACAGCTTTAACCCTTATCCTTACAGGTGCAATGATATGGATATGCATATATTGAGATGCAGCGTCAGGCAATGCATACTTAGGCACAAAAAACGTTGTACCCCGATATTTCCATTAACATTTGTCACTGATCAAAATGTACATACTCATATTTCGACTTTTTTAAGACCCTTTAAGAATTCATAAGAAATTATCTTATCACAACATCGGTGTTTATGTTTTATTTGTTGGATAGTTTGACGAATTCCAGATTTAGAGTTCTTAACATTTCCATTTCATTATCTGATATACAAGCTTATAAAAGTTTATTTAGCTTTTTCAATTTCTAACATACAAAAGAAGCTTTAGTGTACTATTGCTTTTTATTGTAATTGGTGTATCGCAATATGTACTGCAATGCCTGTATCACGATATAACACAAAACCAGTTTCACCATATTATTGCACCTCTAAGTTATCCTGCTGAAATTATTTAGAAGGACTTGTCCAGTTTCCATTTCCGAAACTGTCGATAATCCATTTTTGGGAAAATCAATATTGAAAGTTTAAAGTTAGTAAGATAATAGTATAGAGCCTGGTCAGATTACATGGATGCAAGGCTGGCCTGGCTCTATACTGATAACAAAGGCTAATCACTAGTGGTTCCAGCAGGATAAGGGCTAATACATGTAATATCAAATATGAGAATAAATTGTGAATGCTTATTATATAGGAGAAATTGAATATTAGAGGTTCTTGCAAAATCATGGGATCTAAACTATAAATGCATAACTGTTTTAACACTAAAAGATGGAGAATCATTATTGCATTTTTTACAGAAATTATATAAATAACTGTAAATTTGAACAGACAAATTCTTTAAGTAAAAAATATGTATATTTTGTCATCTAAGTGCTGTAACGGGTTAACTTCTTATATTATTAATAGGAGTTAACCCGTTATTGCAATAAGATGATGATTTGTCTCTAGTAGGGTCACATGCACTGTATATAGTACCAGTAATAGAAAGTTATATAACAGAGCTCTAATAATGCACAATAAGTCCTATGTGACTCTTTTCCTGAATTTTAATGTTTTATATAATGTAACACACTAAAAACCAGCAAAGTCATGATAGGTCAATTCAACATTAAAAGATCATTTTGTTCCGGTAACATTTAAACTGGTATTAAATTCTACTATAACAGTGACAATTACTGAACATATTGAAATTTATAATCGGACAATAGGCGGTAGCAAACTCGGAGATAGAGACCCCAACCGAGCCTCTAAATTTTCTCCTCCAATTTACATCATTCAGGAAAGTGGTCCTTGCAACCTCTTAATCTGTGGCTCCACAGAAAATTGGCTTCCCTGCATTTAAGATTTATGGTAAGGATAGAGCTAAGGTAAGGGTATTTGTTGGCAGAAGTAAGAGTCGTGCACTTTGAAAACTAAATCAATGATTTATATGCGTTTATGACTGTGGTCTCCTTTATATATCAGGTTAGGTATGAAATATCATTTTCAGTAACACACAACAATAAAGAACTTGATCAATGTGCTGGAAATAGTGACATGCGCTAAAATATTTTAAAAAACTGCCACAGGTCTTACCCATTCCTGGAGCCATTCCCATCATGCCCGCAGGCTGTGCTGGCATCGTGCCAAATGAGCCCATCATTGGGGAAGGATCTGCCTTCAGAGACTGTGGTAAGGACTTAGGAAGCTCGTAGCCTTGTAACTTTTTCTTGATCAAATGCATGGCAATGGAGAACTCTTTCTTGTCCATTTTACCATCATTGTTCATGTCAGCCAGGCTCCTGATGAATACAAAAATTCTAAAAATGCATTCCTGAATTAATAGTCATGTCACACGTTAGCACTTGTTCTCAATGTAACACATGTACATAAATGTATACAAAATTCAGGTTAAAATATTTTTGAAAATTAAAAGAATAAAAGATTACAAAACGCTCTTTCAAAATAATATTTTTTAAAGTCATAATTAATTAAAGATTATTTTAAAACCAAATCTTCTGCAAATAGTGGTATCATATAAATATACATTTTAAATCAACTCACAAACTTAAAATGAAATTCACCGGACCGCCAAATTTGTATTGTTATATCCGGATTTCATTACATGTATATCCTAGAGGCAAAGTCTGGAGAGTGGTTATAGCATTGTTAAAAGCTGTATAAGTAATATCATTACAAGTGCACTTTATTGTACATATTTTATGTAATCTTATTAGTTGTTTTTTTTTGTTATGTTTTAAATCACACCATCATGGTAAAAGTTGTATGTTTTTTTCCTCTAGTTTTACTGGGCAAGATGATATACAGGGAATACATGAGTTTGCGATTCTGATGATTTGTATTGCTAGTGTTGAGTGATGATAAAAAGTTATATTCCCTCCCATAATTGAAATTTACTACCATATTTATTTTCACCGGAAACTTAAAGATATACAATAAATAAAGATATACCATATCTGTCCAAGTATTTGTGTAGGTAGACCAGACTGCATAAAGAAGCCTCTAGCTTGCTCTCCTGAAAACACACAAACAAATCAAAACAATCAACTAACTCAGTATACATGTAGACATTCTGCACAACATATGTTATTTACATGCCCTAGTTTTATAGAAATATTTGACATTTAGGATTTCCTGTACTGAAAATAAATTCAATGAAAATATTTTGATTTAAATGACATAAAAGTATGCTAAATGTTGACCAGATTCCAAAAAATATCTCAATCTGAATTTGAGCTGCGTCATGACAAAACCAACATAATGGGTTTGCGACCAGCATGGATCCAGACCAGCCTGTGCATCCGCGCAGTCTGATCAGGATCCATGCTGTTTGCTATCAGTTTCACTACTTGTTATAGGGTTTGTAAGCGAACAGCATGGATCCTGATCAGACTGCATGAATGCGCAGGCTGGTCTGTATCCATGCTGGTCGCAAACGCATTACATTGGTTTTGTCATGACGTGGCTCATTTTATTTCAGTATATTTCATTATAAAAAGTGTTGTCTTTAATACAGAAATACATGTACCATATGAAAAACCAGAGAAAAAGAGGTACACAAAATCTGATGAGGTACTTCAGAATTTAGAAAACTACATATACATGTACATGAGTTTATCAACAAGAACAAGAAGTATCATCAATTGATTTCTCTATTTTCAGTAACCGTTGTAGAATCAGCAATACCTTTTCCTCCAATAAATTTAAACAGTTCTTGTGTGATTTTAAATTCTTTATATTTTTATTAATTAAACAAGAAGTAAATACATTCAATATGTAATGAGTATATGGCTATATTTATTAATTGAAATAGCTGGAGAGAAATATATACATGTACATGAAATGACAAACATGAATTGCTTTTAATCTAAATGCTTACTTTTAGCATTTTGATATAAAAAATCCTTCCCACTGCCAAATACAGTTACAAAATTGCAAAAAGTAAAAAAAAAACCTAAAAAACCCCAACACTTGCCTGTGACAAAGCCATTGACTGGTTTAAGAGTGAAGAATTGGGAATCATGTTTAACTCTATCCTCACCACTGATCCTCCATGCATCACCACTAACTGAAACAAACATGTTATCTTTTTTTAAACAAACAGTTTCTAATTTTTCAACAAAACTTCATAGTTGCATGCTACTTATGCCTTTGCAATAACTGACTTATTTAAAGATATTTATAAGATCACGTACATTGCAGTAACTAAATATACACAGAAGAATATAAGAGTAAAGTCCCTCTGAATTGCGTGTGAACTTTGTGAATCAAATATTTTCCTTGAATGATAAATTACAATAATAATCTGAAAAAAAAAACATATTCAGAATTTATGCTGTAGAAAATTTATATGTTAACTATCATGTATAGCTGATATAAAATTTCTGTAGAAATATTCTAAATGTGGCAAACAATGCCCTATTTCGAGGAGAAAACTTCAAAAAGTGTAATTTTTAAACCATGGAAACCAAAAACAGTTAAAGCCTAGTCAAATCTATTGTAACTAAAACAGGGTTAAACTGACAAATGTACAACTTGAGGTCTGTTGATCTAAATTTCATTCAAGGAAAACAACAAAGAAAACAAGCCATTCCAATATGGCTATAAGTACAAATATCTGATGCTGATTAATTAGAAGCCCCCCCAAAAAAATTAATTCAAATTAAATTTTATATATCATAAAAATTTATTTATTTCGCTTAAAATATTTGCATTAATTATCTTATCTTGTAATATATTGTAGTATAGTAAAATTAGTAAATCATGTAGAGCTAATAACACTAATACACGTATACAAGAACTTAAGAATACCTGTAGCTGCTGTCATGATAATTGTTCATTAAATTGCTGACAGTCAATGACCCAACATAAACATCTGTAATATAAGCACAGTATTGTATAATAAATGTTAACAGATAGGTATATTCCTTATTTACAACAGCCTAAGTTTTTGCATTATTTTCCCCCAGCAAACTTACAAAATTGAACACTCTTTATGTCATATATATATAAAACTTTAACTAACCACTCAACAATCAATGTTCTACACAATTTATGATTAATCATTAATTTATAAATGAAAATATTGCTGACCTCTTTAAGGCCTTAACAGCCATTATGTATAAACTGCAGACATTGTTATATATTGGACCAAACACAACCACAAGTCTGACAACAAACAGTCAAAAATGTGATTTTTCATCTAAAACATTGCCATCAAGTCTAAGACCTTTATTCCAAGTTATTTTACATCAGTGTTAGCGATTTTCCCTAACTTTACTGAGTACCTGGGACTCAGTGCTAATAGATCTGTTACGTCCCAATTCAAATGGAACGAGTCCTCAATTACAAAAATGTCAATTTTGCATAACTTTTAATTTCAATCAAATTTTTAGAGTTGATGTCGCGGATACCATTGATAGTTGGGCCCAAAACGAGGCCGAGCACTTTCTCCTAGTCCCCGTTTGGGATATAAAACTGCATTGCTAATTTAAAAGGAACAAATAAAAGGTGAAAATTTAAGTTCTTTTTAAAATTACACATTTTATTTAATAATAAAAACTTTTAACAACCAAAAAAATTTACAAAAGATTACAATTTTTTGAAAAAGTGTTTGTTCCCTTAGATAACGCCCTTTTTTTCCAACCCCCGGGCAAAACAGTCAAATTGATATTTTTTACTTCATAAAGCAAACCCCTGATTACATACATGTGATAACTGAAATGGGCAAAACTGGATTTTCAGTTGCATTTTAATAAGGGCTCAAAAATAAGTTTTTACTTTAATTTCATCATATTGTTTGGCAGTAAAATGGTGAAGACCCAAATTACCATCATAATTACATACATATCCTATATCATCAAAGTCAAGAAAAGCTTCTTTCCAGAATAGTTACATTTAGATTTTATTTCAGACATGAGCATCTTTTCACACATTCAATGATAATCATAAAATCAAAATACTAAAGGATAAAGTCACAGCCTGCCCGCCATATATAGCACACATGTCATGCATGGTGTACCAGCTGAATTTGAAATGTCCCTGACTGAGATAATGTGTCTGACGTGAATTTGCGATATCTTCCCTGTTTACACTATACATCCCCGAGTCTTCTGATTAATGTAATAAGACCAAAATCATTTTTTTTAAAACAAGAGCAATAGTACTTCCATAAAAAAAAAAGAAATAAAAATTTTTAAATAGGGTTTTTAGATTATTAACCTTATTAGGGTAAAATGTGTGATCATGCAGTCACCACTGTGGCACACATTCCAACATTATTTTACTTTACATATGCAATCAACTGGTCAATTTACTAATACTTTAACTGCTTGTTTGCTGAAACAACCAGAGTAATCAATATAGAACATCAACATTTATTTACCAAACTTGTCATACATAAATTTTATAGAATCTACCAGGCCAACACCTGTTGCAGTAAGCAAGACTGTAATTTTATTTAAACAACACAAAAGTTAGAGATCTTTGTTGATGACTATTCTAGTAAGGGGTGAACAAATATGAACATAATTTGCATGATATTCCAGCAAAAATTGTATATGTAAATAAAAATATGAAGTGGAATATTTATGATGATTATCTAAAATATTTTGACAGGTTCTTTTAACGAAAGTTAGGTTTCAAGGTCATTTCTGCGCATATTGACACTGCAAATTCAAGAACAAAATAAAATATTTATTACCAAGTCACAATGTAAACCACATTTACTTAAAATAAGTGGATTTAAGTGTTTAAAAGTCCTTGTTTTCCAAATTTTTCGGTACCGGAAGTCGGCCTTCTTTTCCCCTTTGCATGCTAGGAAAGAAAGGGGAGTGACATGTGGACAATTTCCGGTTTCGATTTCATTATTATTAAATTCTATCTTCTATCTTGCCACTCAATTCATAACTACAGTATGCTGATACAAATATGGTTTCTTTATTGTAACATTTTATTATAGTTTACGGAATTGTATGCCTCTTTGGTGTCTTACATTGTTAAGTAATTTTTTTGGGTACCCATTTTTTTAACACTGTAACGTACACAAAACTAAACGTACCCAAGTTGTGCATGTACATAAAACGTTCGTTTTGAGTGGTAAATTCATGAGAGGAATACAATATGTAATCCTCTACTAATAATTTTGACTTGCCTGTATTGATCTGTTGATTGGCATATACAGAACTATTATTAATATGAAATTAGGCAAAGCCTATGCACGGGGAAGTCCTTAAAAATTCCTTTCATTCTTTCCGTTTTAAAGGTGTCATTCGGTATTACATGCACCGCTTCCGTTTTCACTCGGAACACTCGACGTTTATTATTTATCCGAAAAGTTGAGATTTGTTCCGTTATCGGAATACCCCGCCTATTATCATTGAGTTACATTGTAAATGGCGGCGCCCGACTAGAACTGACACTGAAAATTTCATTGATAGGTATAGAATTCTATATATTTTTTAATTGTTTTTTATTTGATTTTCTTTTAAATACACACGCGTAGTCTATAGCCGGGCAAGCCAAAGCCCGTACCCGCTTCGCGGGCCCGGTCTTTGACTTCCCCGTATAATTTTGTCATTTGTTAAGATGTGTTTAATTCAATTGACACAGGGTGTAAGGCTCCCACGTTTACATTTTTTTGTAAACGTTTACACGACTGCTAAGAACCGAAACGATACCGTTTAAACGGTGGCACCTCTATGTACTATACACACCATGTATTTGAGTCGCCAAATGATGTCTTTCTTTCTATTTTTAATACATGTAAAAATAAAGAATGTGCAAGGCTCATCACGATTGAGTCAGCACACATTTTTTGCATTGTAACCCCATTTTTTACCAAAAATGTATTATGTCACGAGCAATTTTGCACGTTAATGCTGTGTGGAGGGTTGTAAACACCCATTTTCCGTTTGTTTACTTTGGAATAAACCACTAGAATTGATAAAATCCATGATTACAGGCAATGATTAAGAAATTTTGTAAGACAATATGGTCATTTCGATTAAACGGTAAACAATATCGTAAACGTTTATGAATGAAAATCGAAACGAATCCGTTTAAACGTGTAATCGTGGGGGCCTTAACAGGGTGAGAAAAATGTCAGTCTGACCAGGCTTGAACCCAGGACCCACAGAATAATGTTCTGGTGCTGTACCGGCTGAGCTATCTGGTCGCCAATAATTAGTGAACAGTTAAATACCCTGACACATTCCCGCACTATATTGAAATTTGTTCTAATGGGCACAGAGAACAATTTTTCAGCTTGGCAACTTGGCTCACCAAATTGACCCCACGTTGGGCTCCAAATGATAAAGGATTAGAAACCTGGCCAGGAGTGAAACTGGGACCCTCATGATACTGTACTGCGTCTCTTCTACTGATAGCCCAGCAAATTGTGTGCTTAGGGCTTTTTATTATATAGACGATGGTTGCCCTTAGACAGACATCATTGTAATTATCAGATTGTAAAATCGGTATGTCTTGCAATCGAAATATTGAGACTATTCTACCCACTGAGCTTTCCAGCTGCTTGCACAGTTTTTCCTCTAATTTAGTTAACAGTTCAATACCATGACCTAGAGTCTACTGCATGCTACAAGCCTTAGATTATCTCACATATTTATTTGATGTCCAAAAAAGTTATCATTTGATATTGTGCAGAAGTTTTGTTGTATTATTTTTTTACATTACAGGAAAATTGTAGAAAATGAGGACATTAAGGCAATCAGTGGTGAGAGAAGTGACAAAAACCATAACACCCAAAATAAACTTTGTAACTAAAAATGTGAGTAACCTCCATTTGTTATACATAAACCACAGTGGCTTTTTTTTTCTTAACAAAAAATATATTTTTCAATTGATCTGTTTTGGGTTATTTATTTGTCATGAATGATGTGACCACTTTTTATGACTGTCACATAAGTTTTCACCAATTATAGGTCGTACCGTATCAATCAGATTATGTAATCTCTTCATTTGTAAGCTCAATATTGATATAATTATATCCCTGGAATGGTCCTATAAATACTACACAACCATTGCAGAGTAAACCACCTTTTGGGGAACAAAAGTATAGGTTGTTACTAGCTGAAGGGTGTTGCTCTATAGAGTTTAACTCAGATATTGTGAAGTCTTACTATTGTTGTAAAGAAGTCTATCTGCATAGGTTGCATTGTACATAATTACAGAATAACAGTGTTTTGTGTTTCAAACTGTGTAGCCTGTGATATGATTTGGTTATCTCAATACATGTATCTATTATGTTTCTAAATGTCACTTTAAATAGTAGTATATGTTTATTTTCAGGTTGACATTCCAGTACCAGGAAGAGGTCAGGTTTTAGTGAAAGTGAAAGCATGCGCTCTTTCATTAGTCAAACAAAAGGTATGTATATATTAGCAGAGTTATCTCGGTCTATCAGTGATCGTTTTATTGAACCATGTTGTTAATCATAATGTTAAGTAAGAATTGTGGTCACAATGCATTTAAACAGGCTGACATGGCCATTCAGTTATATAGAAAAAATGAGGAGTAAGAAAATGCATTTGTAATACCAATTTGCAAAGTAAGACAATTTACTGTACAATATGTTTTATCATTTAGATTTTAGTTGAAGTAAACAGTGATGAAGAGGTACAAGATTATCCATGTGGTCAGGATGCGAGTGGTGTTGTAGATAAAGTTGGGGATAATGTGACACATGTTAATGTTGGCGACGATGTGGTTGGTATGTAATTTATATACTTATCACATTACTTGGCCTGTTTTCAAAATAAGATAATGTATTTCTTTATATTATACACAAAATACACACATTTAATAAAAAGTATTTACATGTATATGTTTTCTGACTGTATAATGTTAAGTGATGAAACAAGGAAGCCAGATGGACTCTAGCCCCAAATGGTGACTGGTCATTGTTTTGTAGGTGGTCCAGTAAGTTAGCTTAGTTGGCTTAGCCACATGTCAAAATGTCACAGATTGTGTTCACTATTGTAATATAATTGATCTTTCTTTAAAAAAGAATAAACTGATTTTGTTAGTATTTCATGTCTTTTTATTATTTTAATTATTTTTATAGATTTTTGTAGCTGTACTTTATGATGTATTTGTTATCAATTCATTAGGTCACAATAACCATAGTGAAATATTTTATTATTTTTATTGCATTTTAACATAGTTTTGCATAAATGTTTTTTTGCCTGCAGTGAATTTGCACATTTCACTAAAGAGGGTGTTTCTAGAATCTACTGATTTTTTTCTTTCATTTAATGATAGTTGTTCATTATGCTATTCTTCCTCATTTTGCTTTAATGTCTGGTAACAGTGAAATTGTATTGATTATTTCACCATGGCCAGGAACAATGGTTAGGAAACTATCCGCCTATATGACTGAAATACTGTTGGAAAAAGGCGTAAAATGAAACAAACAAACAAAACAAACAAAATTTCACCATGGAATGCTAAGATTGTAATAAAATGTTATATTTCTGTGCTGTTTTGAATCACCAGGTATTCTTCCACTGGACAGTGATTACTCTGGATGTGGAGATTACTGTATATTTAATGAGTATGATCTAGGTAGGTGACTTAGTATTCAAAATTGATCATCAGTAATATCTATTTCATATTTTAACACATTTTAACTTATTTCCATATTAAAAAGACAGGGCAGTCAAGGGCGAAGTCAGATGTATCATCAGTTAACCAAATGATGTCAGGAAAAATTATATTTCTGCCCGTTTGAACTCGAACCATGCATTATTATACAAAAACGCACCCAAAATTGATACCTACATGTATTTCCATAATTAGGTTTGATTAAAATTAAACTGTTTATGTAAATTTAGTCAAATGACATCTAACATTAAATCAAGCAATTGTTGATTTTGTAAACATTTAACAAAAAAGAAAACATTGAACTAGTCACTACTGCTGCTTGTTTTTGCTGCTTTTTTTGACTCAGTGAAATTAAATACTTGACAACCAATGAAATTGCTTCAAATATGAAAAAAATGACACTCCTTATTGTTTGAATACATTGAAAAATAGTTTAATTGTAAAAAATAATTTTAACTTACTGTCAGTTAGTCAATATTTAACAATTAGAGAATGTAAGATCACTTGCTTCCATTACTTCCCTTCACTTTTCTTGATTGAAATTTTGACTTTATGAACACTAAATGACTGTTTCTTATGAAATGTTATGTTACTTATGCTCATAAGTATTTGTACTAGATGACCATTAACCCATCTTTCAATCTGGACAATGTCATTCATCATTTGTATGGAAAAAATTTAAATATTGACTGAATAACAAACAGTGCAAACCATGATCAGACAGTACAGATGTGCCGGCTGATTTTGGTCTGCACTGGCTCGTTAGATTAAGTAGCTTCTAGCATACCAAGGCTTTAACTTGTTAATAATCTTTGTTACTATGAATAATGGCAGTCTTTGTCAATGTATAAACAAATGAGACTTATGTGATATAATTTTATAATACAGTCAAGAAACCGCGGATGTTGAGTTACGTAGATGCTGCAGGAGGTATAGGAGACTGTGTTAAAGCTTATACTGCCCTACACTATCAGGCAAGAATATGTGCCGGTGACACGGTCCTCGTCATTGATGGAGCGTCTTCATTTGGTACAGCAGCTATACAAATTGCAAGACTATGGGGAGCAAAGGTATTTTTTATAAAGAGTACATTTCTGATGAGTCTGTTGTATTTCTGATTGATCTGTTGCATTTCTGATAAGTCTGCAAAAATGGTGACTGTAAATCATCTAAGCCTTGTGTAGTTATATAAAGTTTTTGAGACCACCAGTTCCTTGTTGCTCTGTGTGACTGTTTACAATTCTCTGTTTTTCTTCTATTTAAGCAAACTTGACTTGCTCACTTACATCAAAACTAGTTGTGGTTTATTGTCTTGAAATTTGCCATGATCAGGGTAAGGCTAACTAAAAGACAGAACAGGCATATTTTACCTTGTCCGAACAATAGCAGTTTTGTTTTTAATTTGGTTTGAACCAAGCTTGCACTTAACTTGTATTATTATAGATCTCAGTTCCTTACTTAGTTTATACTACTTTATTTTAGTTTGATTGTGTTGGAGCTGTAAGCTTATTGAAACACTCTCGAATCTGTTCCTGGAACTAACCAGTACTTAGCAATAAGTGTAAAGTTTCTTACTCAAGGAAACAATGGCTTGCCTATGGCTGGGTTTGAACCCACGCGACCAGCAATCCTTAGATTAGCAGTCTGACGAGTTAACCACTGGGTAACTCTGGGCCACGCCACCACTTAGTCCCTTACTTGAAGTGTCATGTTAATGATTATATTTTACTTTTCATTTCTGTCATTTTTAGCTCACCTGTCACAAAGTGACAGGGTGAGCTTTTGTGATCGCTTTTCGTCCGGCGTCCGTCCGTCCGGCGTCCGTCCGTCATCCGTCGTCTGTCCGTAAACTTTTACTTTAAATGACATCTCCTCATAAACCACTAAGCCAATTTCATCCAAACTTCACAGGAATGCTCCTTTGGTGGTCACCTTTAAAAATTGTTCAAAGAATTTAATTCCATGCAGATCTCTGGTTGCCATGGCAACCGAAAGAAAAAACTTTAAATATCTTCTTTTAAAAAACCATAAGAGCTAGAGCTTAGATATTTGGCATGAAACATCTTCTAGTGAGTGTCTACCAAGTTTGTTCAAATAAAAGCCCTTGGGTCAAAATTGGCCCCGTCCCGGGGGGTCATTGATTTTCCCTATATGCATATAGTAAAAACTTAAAAAATCTTCTTTTAAAGAACCCAAAGAGCTAGAGCTAAGATATTTAGCATGAAACATGTTCTAATGGGTGTCTACCAAGTTTGTTCAAATAAAAGCCCTTGGGTCAAAATTGGCCCCGCCCCGGGGGGTCATTGATTTTCCCTATATGCATATAGTAAAAACTTAAAAAATCTTCTTTTAAAGAACCCAAAGAGCTAGAGCTAAGATATTTAGCATGAAACATGTTCTAATGGGTGTCTACCAAGTTTGTTCAAATAAAAGCCCTGGGGTCAAAATTGGCCCCGTGCCGGGGGGTCATTGATTTTCCCTATCATGCATATAGTAAAAACTTAAAAAACCTTCTTTTAAAGAACCAAAACAGTTAGAGCTAAAATATTTAGCATGAAACATGTTCTAATAAGTGTCTACCAAGTTTGTTCAAATAAAAGCCCTGGGGTCAAAATTGACCCCGCCCCGGGGGGTCATTGATTTTCCCTATATGCACATTGTAAAAACTTAAAAAACCTTCTTTTAAAGAACTCAAAGAGCTATGGCTAAGATATTGAGCATCAAACATGTTCTCATAGGTGTCTACCAAGTTTGTTCAAATAAAAGCCCTGGGGTCAAAATTGGCACCGCCCAGGGAGTCATTGATTTTCCTTATATGTGTATAGCAAAAACTTAAAAAATCTTCTTTGAAAAAACCCAAATAGCTAGAGTTAAGATATTAAGCATGAAACATCTTTTAGTGAGTGTCTACAAAGTTTGTTCAAATAAAAGCCCTGGGGTCAAAATTGGCCCCGCCCCGGGGGTCATTGATTTTCTTTATATGTGTATAGCAAAAACTTAAAATCTTCTTTGAAAAAACCCAAATAGCTAGAGTTTAGATATTAAGCATGAAACATCTTCTAGTAAGTGTCTACAAAGTTTGTTCAAATAGAAGCCCTGGGGTCAAACTGGCCCGGCCCCAGGGGTGTCATTGTTTTTAACTATATGTGTATAGTAAAAACTTAAAAAAAATCTTCTTTTAAAAAGCCCAATGAGCTAGAGCTTAGATGTTTAGCATGAAACATCTTCTTATGGATGTCTACCAAGTTTGTGCAAATAAAAGCCCTTAGGTTAAATTGGCCCTGCAATTGGGGGGGGGGGGGGGGGGGCTATATACAGGTGAGCGACCTCAGGGCCATCGTGGCCCTCTTGTTACGAAATATTGACCAACAATAATTTTTTTCCTTGAACTTGCCAGGGCATAGGCACATTTTGTTATTCCAGGAAAAAATTTTTTTATTCAATTTAAATCATCTATCTGTCATTTATTATTTTATTTCTAACAATCTTGTTTCTTTTCCTGAACCAATATGATTCCATTATTGGTGTCAGAGTTATGAAATAGCCAAAAAATTGGCTACTTTTGGAGTTGTCTGCAGTTGATTACAGTCATAATGGTTACAGCCATAATGGTACAGAAAAAGATTTTTCAAATGTTTCTTCATATTTTTCAAGTCATAGGTCCCATTTCATTGCTTGTATTGAAATTTTGATTATTTAAAGGTAAATGTAACATGTATAAAGTATGGAAAGAAATTGTGTTAATGAATGTATTATATTGTTTATCTAAATCTCTTATTTTGTTAGGTCATAACAACAGTGAATTCAGTGGCTGAAAAATCCTATCTGGATGGACTGTTGCCTTCAGTTGGTGAGTATTTACATGTATTTGTGTATATGGGGTAAAACTTAGACCAATTATTATTGATGTCAAATGAGTGTATTAATTAAAATGTTCAGATTACAACATTTATTGTTTAAGATATGGTGAATATGATAAAAGGCTACTGGTCTCAATAGCACTGTTAACTTATAGGGGAGAAAATGTGCAAGCAGCCAGATAGCTTAGTTGATACAGCTGCGGAATACTATTCTGAGGATCCTGGTCAGATTTTCTGATCATGTGACAATGTAATATAAATAGATTTGATTTAGTCCAATGAATTAGGGGGCAATATATATGTTCACAAGTAGATGGTTATGCTATTAGGGAGGAATGTTTAGTGAGTTATGTATAGTGATGGAAATCGGATGAAATTTGTCCCAATCGATCATCGGTTCAATCGGATGGGCCATAATCGATAACTTTTCGAATAAAGTCGCGTTAAAAAGAAATAGGGAAGAAACATTTCTTCCAAAGGCACTTGATTATATTCAGTAACATGAACTTAATTTAGCACGTTTTAACAAAGTTTTCACCTGATATAGTCATAATTTTACGACATAGATTTTATTTTTCAATGGATGTCAAATGATAACCTCCACATCACATTATATTACTATTGTTTACATCACGTATTGATCCTATGCAACACCAAATTGTCTCCGATATTATTTTTTGCAATCGGCAAAGACAATTACCGTCAGAATTAATTCCCTTTGATACCTTATACATTTTCGCGAAGGTCGCGGAACAAATTTCTGTGAATCGATTATTGTCGCTTGACATAACAGTAACTGATTATTGGCGACCTGCGACAATCGGAACATCACTAGTTATGTACTATCAGTTGAATAGCCGGTGGTCAGATCACCAGAACACCATTTAATATACATAAGTTTTATTCTATGTTTACAATTGTCAAAATATTCTATCAAACTGGTATCAAAGAGACATGTACACACTGATACACTGAGTAAACCCAGGTGACTAGAGAGAATGTATAATATTACACAACAAGTTATGAGGTGATGTTGTTTGGTGAGTTTCGGGGTGATAAAGTGAGTTGATAAATGCAATGGTTGCTTGATTGTGATATAAGAATGTTACTGTCACAAGTTATAATTATTCAACATTTATATTTTTAAGGTCATGTTATTGACATTGGACAGAGAGGCAGTATGTTGGTGAGCTCTGTGATGGAGGAAACAGGAGGTTTAGGTGTAGATGTTGTCATTGACAACGGAGGTATGAGATACACACATGTAACGTAAACTTTTCAAAGGTTTAATTGAAATTTAAAAAAAACCCAAAGACATTGGTTCTTTTTTATCATTTTCATTCTTAGTACATTTACATACATGTAGAATTATTTTTATTAAGGATACTAACAGAAATTACCTCCCTTTATTGTTCGGAACTACCTTTAGAGTTGTGTCTTGTTTCACTAGTTTTGTATGTATTATTAAAATGATATACTTAGATTATCAATCTTATGTTATCAGCCTGGGAATTTTATGACTAAGCCATGTGACAGGTGAAAATTATTAACAATTTGCAGATGTACTGGGGTGAGGGAATTAGGCTCTTCTAGTTTTTTGTGTGATAAACCAAGTACATGACTTTGTAGTAATGTTAACAATGTTGGGGCATCAAAGCCACACTGATATGAAAGATATATTTTGTTTTCCAGTGAAAATGTATACAAATGAAGAAGATTGTAATCTGCCATCTGAGAGAAGAAAATTCACAACCCCACATAAACATCATGTCATATCATGTTTAGGCATTGCTGGGAAATGGGTCACCTCTCAGTCTGACCTCCAGGTATTTATTCTTTATATTTGTCTGTTAAGCACCAGTGAGTTATAACCTGGCCTTCTAGGCGTAAGCGGTATGGGGATTTCACCTTACCTCTGTCCGTACATTGCTGGTACAAAGTGGTGTGGTTTTTTTTGGCACCAAATTAGTGAGAATATGTCCCACTTGCAGTGGCATTTATCACAGTGTTTTAGAATCAGGCTAGTATGCACATCTTTGTTATCTGGTCTGATGTTATTTTTTTGTATTATACATCTAGCCTAAAATAAGTCAGAGGGGTGTCCAAATGCCGAATGCTTAAGTTTGTTGACTTCAAACCACTTGCCCCTCATGGCTGTAACTTTGAATCCAGCTAGAGACTTCAGATTCTTTCATGTGAGGAAGGTATCCATTTAGCTTATATAGCATTGGTGGTTCTACTCAATTGCCTGTTCATGTATTAAATAGCACATTGAGCGGCACCTGAGGTCTTCTTCCACCAGTAAAGCTTGAAAGTTTGCCATTTTACCTGTACTGTGTTGGTGCAATGCAAAAAAAAAAAATGAATAAAAAATCAGTGGTTCTACTCAGATGCCTACTTGTGCCTGAATACTGAATATTCAATATTGAAAACACTCAAACTAGAAATGGTCAGTTCTGAATTCAAAGAATAACGTTTTGCTATGAAATATGTATGATAAGAATGACAAAATATGTATTAATTTCAGCTGGATCCACCAGATTCTGAGCTCTTGTACTTGCGGGGAGCCAGCATCAACTTCCTGTTTAATGAAGCCTGGACACTGTCTTATGCCCAACAAGGCAGATATCAGCATATATTACATGATGTTATAGATAAATTAGACAGGGGCAATGTGAAGTAAGTCTGTCTTTCTTACAGATTTAAGATAGGCTTGTTTTCAGATACATTTTATGAAGCTGGTAGAGAAATAAGCTATTAATTAAAGATCAAACATACATTTTGAATATACAGTTGACTCTCAATAAGTCAAAATCGCTTTACTCAAAATACTGCCTTAGTCGAATAATTTCTAAAGTCCCGTCAAATTTCCTTCTTTATCTTTGTATTTTAACACCGCTTAGGTCAAATTTTGACTTACCGAGACTCCTGTTTAGTCGAAAAGAAAATTTGGACCCGTCAATTAAAGTCTAATATATTTTCATCTCAATTAGTCGAAGTGTGAAAACAGACGACTGATCAAAGGTCGGCGACATCAAGGTGAGATGTTGTCACTTGTGATTTACACGTTTCATAGTAATTTTTAATTGCCGGTCATCATGTATCATTAACACATCGTAAAAGTGACTTTAATCCGTTTCAGGACTTTGAATTTAATGGTTTTATCAGTTAGATAATTAAATTAAAATTTGATTACATTTCTTTAAGAAAGTTTACTCGTGCCAGTCTGACGGGGTTAGTCAAATAACAGCCTAGGTATCAACGTAAATGACGTTTGTATAATTAATGTTCCGCCATATTGCATACATTAATGTGTACTTCCGGTTCACGATAGTTGCTAATTTCGTTTTCGTCCGATGATCAATTAAATCAAATATAATTGTGTGTTAATGTTTCACTATTGATATACATGTATTAAATTTTGAATTTATAATTTGTAGTTGTGAGTGATTTACCGTCATTTCAATGGTTAAATATTGCAGCATTTCCGCTAACAACAATAACAAACTAACTTCTTTGCGCATTCAATCAGGCACATGTATATACATGTACGAATGTCAACTTAATAGCGGTAGTTCCACGTTACTCGAATTCCGTTTCTCTCGAAGTAAAATGCCCAGTCCCTTGGATTTCGAGTTACCGAGAGTCAACTGTAATTAAGTATGAAGAAATAACAGTTTGTAATAAAAAATAGTACTTTCACCAAATTTTCACATAATGTTTTTATTAAACTTTTCTACAATGACAATTCACATATTGTTTTTATTAAAGCTTTTTTACAATTCCTTTTTATATCATACAAGTCAATAATTATGTTCATTTATTATCAAGACAGTTTATATGGTTAAAAATAAATGGTTGTAAACTCATATAATCTTAGCCATTAGAAAAGGGTTTATATATATACACTGTCAAAAGCAATAAAAAACACCAGCATTAAATTCTTATTTTATTTTCAGATGTAAAATCCTGAAAACAGTAACCTTTGATAACACACCTGCAGAATTATCCCAGTTAGAAGATCTCCGTATGGGAAAAATTGTCATGGCAACATGAAAGTTTTTAATTGCATGGATCAATATCATCGATGTCATTGAATGTCTGTTTTTTTTTCTTCTGGTTGTTGTTGTTGTTTAACAAAGTTGGTCTAACTTAATCTAAATTACAATGTAGAAAAGTGTTTACTTTATTTTTAAAAGCAATCATGTATTGTGATTGACATCGGTACTTTGGTGATTGATTAATTAAGAGGCAGAGTTTACAGTGTTTTGATGTGATGTTTGGTTAAAACAACAGGTTTATATTATCTTTGCTTTTATGCATACAGTATATATGATAGAGCTAAACTTGTCACTATCAGCATCTGTGTCAGCATCAGTCTTTTGATTAGGGAGATCCCTTTAGAACAATGAAAAGAAAGTTCATGAGAGTATTTTGTGTTTCACCGGAACCATATTAATTTAAAACTTTGAATGCATATTTGACCATCATAATTATTTGTGTGAAACATTACATTACTTGTACTATATTGTGAATTTGAACAAAATTATGCCCTTTTTACAATGACAATTAGGTTTTTATTTATCACCATTTATCATTGTAATCCATCATCCTCTGATTTCCCTCCTTTAAGTTTGTTTTTACATCTTCATAAGGCCACCAGAGTTTAATTTTCTCAACCTACTGAAACTGAAAGTGATGTATCCTTTGCCACCAGAATACAGCCAGGCCAGCTTGCTCTCACATGCAGTCTGACCAGACTCTATACTGGTGGTTGACTAACTTTAAATATTCGTCTTGATATCCCCTAAAATTAGTGCAGTTCAAAAAATTGAATTCTTCAAGAAATTCAGCAGGTTAAGAGATAAAAAAAGAAATAAACCTCTTATCATCTTGAATATGAAACATTGTAGACAGTCCTTTTGTCAAGGTTTAACATTAAACTGTCAATTTATTGTTGTATTTTTATGGTCATATCTATTAAATAATAAAAAATCTTTATGAATAAGTTACTTTTGTATTTTTAAATTTGCAAGTAAAACTGTAACCTGAAATAGCTTAAGTTTATTTACACAATACAGTCTTTGGTCATTATTAGATTTACATTTTTTAATCCATTATTTCTGAAGGCAATTGTAGAAATTATGTTTGATAACCCGGATTCCACTTAGGTTTTTTTTGACATGACAGGAACCATGTGCTGAAGTATGTGCTGTAAAACTCAAATTTAAAAAAGATAAGAGAAAAAAACAAGAACAAAAATGATGGAACAAGGACTTTGTCACTGTGTCTGTCTTGACGTTTGACCTATGGCCTGTGATCCACAGGGTTAATTAGCTTGCCATGGGCAATGTCCCTACTAATTTCACACAAACATAAGCTTATTCTTTCTGAATTTTTTGAAGGACAAATATTTTACTATATGTCACTGTGACCTTGATCTTTGACCTGATGTCCTCATCATATGCAGGGGTCATTTACTGACCATGGACAATGCCTCTACCCAGCTTCACAAAGCTAGGAGGCTTGTTTCTTCCTGTGTAGACAATGATTCTATCCTATTTTTAATGTGACCTTGACCTTTGACCTAATAACATCAAAATTTTATATAAGCTATGGGAAAAGTCCTTAATAATAAGGTCCAAAAGCCTAAACTTATTCCTTCACAACTATATTAGCCAGAAAAGTTAATGATTGAATAAGGATTTCACAGAATTGTCACTGTATCCTTGACAGTTGATTTTTAATCCACCGGCCATGGGCAATGTCTCTACAAATTTTTATAAACGTGAACTTACTCTTTCTGAAGTTTTTGATCAACAAATATTTTAGACCTTGATCTAATGGCCACTTATAATTTCCCTACCGAGTGTCACAAAACTTGGATTATTTCTTCTGTTATTCAACTGAAAATGATTAATATCTAAATGTAACAGAGACCTTGATCCTTTTTGCGACGGACGCGCCCTCAGGCGCGTTCAGAGCTAAGTCATCTACACATGGGATTTCGTCGGCTACAATCGCGCAAGGTGTCCTCAACCGATTAACAGCCCAAGAAATAGTACATGAATTTGATCCTTTAAAACTCCCATACTTTGTCGGGATATCTTAATATCTTCCATATTTAGCCTTTTCAATTTCAAATTAAGTTATCCAAGTTAAAATATGAACGTATATGATTGATAAAAACGTTGTAGTCCCGTAGTATTATTGCGCAATATGCAAATTACTGCCGAAACGATTTACCGCTGTCGAAAAAGTAGGACAGCAAATTATACTATAATAAAGGTGTAAGCTCTGAGTTCCAAGAAATTATTAGTAGGAAATAAATATTTCTACATTATACAAAACATTATTATTAACAAATCAAAAGTTTTTCGTGACTCTAGAATAACTCGCGCATTAATAAAAGAAGAACTATTTTCGTGACTCATACCGCGGGTTTAGCTGAATATTCAGCAGTTATTAATAAATTAGATACAGTACAATGGTTAGTATAAATATCTATTTTTGAAAATGCATGTAACAAGAGAGCTTTTCAACACTTTACCACCATGTAGTCTTTCATGGTTATCTTTATTGAAGGAAGTTATAATATCAGTTCTACTTCCGATTCTTGTGGTTTGTTTACAAATAAATTTCTAGGTCACGATATGAGTTAACCTTCGCTATTCTAAAAATAGATTCTGCTTCACTTATGCTGATTTATGGACAGGCGATTAGTACACATTATACATGTAATAAACCAGCGGATTACATGCAATACAAATGACTTATATTTTATTGTCTATATGCCCACTATGATAACACGAAGCAATTCTAAATAGCATTCTCACATGTATAATGTATTATGCTTGAAGTTTATTTGCATGGTTTTATTTTAGAAATATTTCGTTGTCAGTTTTTTCTTCTATTTACATATCATTTCTAAATCGATAAGGACACTGATTTACAAGTTTGACCAGAGTTTTTAGGCATAAATTTCATTCTGTATTTAATGCTTGAAAGTAGAAAATCTGAATTATAACAGTTTGGGACACAAAATATATTGCTCTACAAATCTCGAACTTGTATGGAACAAATTTTCTCTGTTATATATTTTGTGTTTTGTTTTATTAAAAAAAGCCTGAATGTCTCTCCGGTTGCATGTCCGTCGCATTCAGTGCTGCAGCACTTTGATTATAACCTTAAAGTCAATAGCGGTAATCTGATGGTTATGACCAATGTTCCTACCACGTTTCACAAACGGGTTTTTCAGGTCTGTGACATTGACCGTTGACTACGATATCTATAAGGGTCATTTTGGGCAATGCCCTACCAAGTTTTGTTCCTGCTCACGTTATTAAAAAGACTTCACACCAAGATTCACTAACCTTGACCTTTTAGCACGACTCATAATCAAAAGGGATTATCTGTTGCCTATGGCCAATCTTCCTGCAAAGTTTGAAGATAGCACATCTAATATAGTTATCGAGTTATTGAGCGACATCGGTGTTGCTAACCACGGATTTTTTTATATTGTAATATAAATCCGTTTGCTAACGGACGGACGGACAGACGCTCTTACGAGAAGTAATTATGTTGATACAAATTTGTTCGCTCTTTTGTTCTTTTAAGCCAAATTAAAGAAAAATATTCACGTGAAGCTAATTAATGAAACAGTACAGTTAAATACTGTTAATTAAGCCACATAAGTATCCTCTCGTAAACACAGACAGACGGGATTGCGGCATTCCATAATACGACCGATGTTTTTGGGCGTGTAAAAATGGATGTCATTTCACAAACAGGGTCATTAAGTGTATATTTAAAGTTTGTCATAAAATAATGTACGAATTATACTGACGGGGACAAATTCAGAAAGTGTTCAGCCAGTAAACATCCATTAAAGTGATTTTGTTACCTATGGCGTGTATTGCGGCTATTAAATGACCTTAACAGCAACAAAACAGTTTGAAACATTTATATCCAAAAATTAACAAAAGCAGTGTAACAAAGTTAAACTCAATATAACATATTCTCGAAAATGAATTGCGAAAAGGGTCCATTTCATTTATTTGTATGTAAACGTTTTCACAGATAATGGTATTCAACCGATCACAGTATCTCCGTCGAGCTGTACGTGTTTGACATTTTCGACCGTCGTTACCAGGTTGTGCGTAATTGTACTGTCCATTGTCACGTGGCTTTTACTCGCTTTTGTGACACGAGTGGGACTTTCTGTTGTCACGTGACTGTCTGGCATTTGTGTTGTCATGGAATTTGCTGTTTGATCTGTAGGCTGTGGTATAGGGTAGCATTTTCCGAACAAAGAAGTTACGTGACCATGTATATTGCTCGCACAACGGAAGCCATCCTCGCATGGACATTCGAATTCTGTGAGTTTGGTTGCGCACGCATCACCAGCTTTTCCCAGCGCTCTGCAGAGCGTCTCAGTATATAGAAATTCGTCCCGAACACAGCAGAACCCAGGCACACAGGACTCGTTCCTCGCTTTCAGGTCGCATGCCGTGTTTTCAAACTAAAAATATATTAGATTTCTGTAGATGACTTAAAAGGTCATTACGACTTAGTAAATGGCTAGATATTTATACTAAAATAAACTTTTATTCCCTCCATCATACTCTATTTTAACGCCAGCGTATAAATGTGCTTGCAGTTCATTATTAATATACATTAAGGTGACAACGGAGTCAATTATCACTTAAAATACCTAAAATGAGATTTTTTGCTTAGTAGATTTATCAACCTTTTCTGAACACATTTGTGATTTAATTTTGGAAGCAGTTAGTCCAAAAAATGTGTTTTTTAACGTTTTAAAACGGTACCTGTACCATTTTTATCTGCTATTCGCGTAACCTGTCAATTATCGATAACGCTCCGCCCCCTGTTGAGGCATCAATGAGGGAAATCGGTAGTTCAATATATGCGTGAATTACCGGTCCATACTACTTGTATTTGTTTAAATTCATGTATCGTACAAATACCGTACATCTTTTATGAATATCTTTTACCTTTTATTTAGCCTTTTTTATAAAATAAAAAATTGTCGGCCAGTGTACGTAACATAATGTATGAAACAAATAATTAAGCATAGCGGCAAATCGCCCGACCACGGGGTTGATTAAAAATATAGTTGCTAAAATATCCATAATGTGTGAAAATAATTTGTCTGTCCCGTCAATCTGATAGATATTACATTGAGTTTATGGACTTTTGTACGGATTCAAGGGCTTGCTTTACATTCAACCTCGTTTTCTAACAATGGCAAGTAAAACAACAACAAAAACAGACAACATTTTTTATGTGAACGCCTAAATGACTTATGGTAAGGTGTCCCTGACAAATTTCTTAACCATTTTAGGTTGTCTAAGATGATTATTTCTCTATTAATCAATAAAAAAGATAATGAAATATATTATCAGTGAATGCTTTGAATAAATTGTTCGCCAGTAAATCGAACACAGTACTAATAAACCTGGGACAAAGTATGGAATTTATTGATTTATTGTACATGTATATCCCAGTAGAAACTGGATCTCTAGCTATGTCGTGCATAGATGATACGTGTATTCATGATAATAGAAGCCAAGAAGGTCAGATCATAATGATCGAGTGATACCTTTTATTTCTATTAAAATATGTGAAGCATTCATATCAATTTGGAGGAAACAATATATAATATCCAGTTCTTATTTGTACATCTACCATGGACTTTAAAAGACGTCAGAAGCTCAGTTTTTTTGTTATTTTAATTTATATTTTAACGGAATTTCATACACGAATACACAGACAGAGTGACACTGGTATATTATAATAATAATGCTGATGATAATAATAATAAACTTCAAAAGTGAAACAATGAAATACCCCGCTAGCGGTGCGCAAATACGTTCCATTTCCCCCCACCGAGTGCCTCAAATTTTACCGAAATTCACGTGACATGTGCGACGACGGTAAATCACGTAAAGATTTGAAGAAATTTCTGTTATAAACTGATATTAATCAGCAACCTTTTAATTGGTCAGATGTCACTGGGCCATAAAATGTTGTTAGAGTATGTTACCGCAACTTGTGACCCTCTCTGGTGCGATATTTGTGTATTATGCAATTATTTAGCGTGAAACGTAGGGGTCCGAGAGAGAACAGCCGATTTATGACACTTCGTTTGATGCGGGTCGGACTAACTTTGAATCGGCATAACTTTTTTAATAATCAAGCAATTAACATGCGGTTTAAAGCACATGAAAGGGAATTCATTTACGGAGGGAACCGTGTCAGGGATTTTTGTTTGCTCAATCAGCGACTTAATTATCTTTAATTACGTAATATGTATGGTGAAAAAAGTCGCATAAAATGTTTGACGTTACGTAATATTTTTTTGAGAAAAGATAGAAAAAATTTGAGACACGGTTCTCTAGATATTATAAGTATGTTTATTTTCCAAAAGTTTGATGACAAAAAAATAAAAAATGACTTTGATATGACGATTTAAAATTTTATGATTTTTATTAAAAATCAATCATTTACAAAGGCATTTTTTTCAAATATGTTATTTTTTATGATGATCAACGACATTTAATGCACAAAGATTAAATAAATAACAATTATTACTAAAATAAGTTGGTTTAAATGACATTTATGTGAGTACCACGGAAAGTGTCTGTTGTCACCTTAAAGGAATATACAAAACCACCCTATTTTACTTTGTTTATTTGCAACCCGAGTTAATTTTCTATTTCTATATGTGCAACTGGAGTCTGGTTTACTTTGTGAAGTTGTAACCCGAATTTGTTGGATTTAGGTGAGAGTTAATTGTAACCAAAGTTTGTTTTGCTTTAGATGTAACCCTAGCCAGTTTCACACTAGTTCGTTTTGCTTTAGATGTAACCCGAGCCAGTTTCACACTAGTTCGTTTTGCTTTAGATGTAACCCGAGCCAGTTTCACACCAGTTCGTTTTGCTTTAGATGTAACCGATCCAGTTTCACACCAGTTCGTTTTGCTTTAGATGTAACCCGAGCCAGTTTCACACCAGGTCGTTTTGCTTTAAAAGTAACCCGAGCCAGTTTTACTTTGTGTTGTTGTTACCCGAGCATGTTTTACTTTTATTGTTACATCGACTTGTTCTGCATAACATGGACTCACTTTCTTAAGTTGTAACCGGGCATGTTTTACATTGTATTTGTAAAAGTTGTTCCACGCCTGGCAAAATGTCGCCTCACTTCAAAACTGTGTTGATATTTTTTTCTAAGAACCCGAAGGGTAAAGTTTAATGGTTTGGTTAAATGGTTTAGAAGTTCAATATTCGACAAATCGTCCTTTACTTCGTCAGGGGGAAAAGTTCTCCCGGGTTTATTATAATTTTCTTTTTGTAACAGCTTATAGATCATTAATTGGAAGCCTTAGACAATCCTACACTACATTTATCGTTTTTCGAAAAAATACAACTTAAATAAGACAAATTCATAAACAATGCTTGCAATTAGCACTTTAAATCGGCCTTCTGCCGCTCTATCTCGGAAATGCCGTTCACTCGTTTTTTTCCGTACATGTACACAACAATTTTGAAGAGGGGGCGTGTGTCGGTGTTGTTTAATTTTCAACAGCCCTAACTGTAAGATAGTGATTGACTTAATGTCATTATCATGTAACTTTTACCTGCTTTAAATGATGAATTAATTGAAATAAGACACAATTATATAAATTTAAATTTGTATCTTACCGCTAAGTGAGGATTATCACCGGCATTTGCTGATACCACAGTTAACAAAACACAAACACTTTGTAATAACATTATGTAATGGTCCGATATTGTCTCTTCAGTTTATTCCAGTACAAATGTAAAAAATTATAGTGTTCTTCGGTATAAACGAAATATATGTCCAAAATCATGAGTGCGCTCAAGGGCTGGTGAAAATGTTTCGTCACATATTACACAAAGATTAAGTTTAAATTATTTTTGTTATGAGACTTTTTAATGATGCAATCAAAATGTCGTGTGAAAAAAATATATATTTATTATAAAAGTCGTCATATACAGGCTCTTATACCGGAAGCAGTAGAACTAGTCTAATATTGAAACAAGTTTTTATTAGTCTTTCCTCCCCTATGAAACAATATGATCATTCTTTAAAGGTATACATCCTGATGAAGTAATTTGCGGGGTGTTCCGAATTAAAACCGAGATATGACGGAAAGACCAAAAGTTGCCAGTACAGCCGCCGCATACAGCGACAAATACATTGGCTGAATTTTATGTCGTGCAGTGTTTCCAAAACGTCAAGAACGCCAATGTTTGAACAATTAAAAAAGATCAGTCAAAGAACCCGTTGAAAAAATGCGATAGATCCTCAATCAAGTTACCACCCTGTATAAACCAAAAAGGCGCTAAATATTTTTGAATGGCGTCATGGAAATCTTTATACGTTCTGCGTTCTATTTAGCCACGCCCATCAGTTTGCAGAATGGGTATGAAATTCCTGTATTTCATTCTCTCTCAAATAACTTGATATGAATTATATCTCACCGATACATTTAAGCATTTCATTTTCAGTCAGTATGTATGTGTTGTTAAACTCTTGCCATGCAGAATCTAAAGAATAACTTTCAGTACTTTGATAATACACATTATTCAGCACACAGATAACATGGGTTGAACAGGCTTGTTTGTGTCAACGACTATTTCAAAATGATTTCAATCTAAGTCCTTCAAAGTTGTTGACTTACCTTTAACTGTACTTGTTTATCTTGTGGTAATATTCAAGGTACATTGTGAGGTTACACAGAAACGTGGGCATGATATCTATGAGTAGTAAAAATCAGTGAGACTTCAGAAATCATGATAAACACTTTTTTTTGCTAATGTTAATGTTCTATTTTCATAAATGATTACGTGACTGTCAACAATGTTTAAACGGTAGAGGTAACCTTAATCATGAGCAAATCCGAGTACAGCGAGAAATTATAAAAGCGCTGTTGTAGAATAAACAAGAGCTGCCAAACATGTCAAAGGAGAAAAGCGACACTTTCTTAAGTGCTAAAAGTGCACTTTATTTTAATGACAAATTTCAAATTTTGCTATAACAAGTACCTGTGACCTTTGAACTTTTGACCTTTACATGATGGGTGATTGGAAGACCGTAGAACCAAATAGGTTTATCAGGCTATGGCAATAGCTCTGTTTTTTTTCTTCTTCGAAAACTGGACTGGACAATGCTCCAAACACGAAGAGGCAGTGCGAGGGAAGCAGGAGAAATTCGGTTTTACCTTCCATTTGTCTATTCAGTGCGGAAATAATGCGGTGATTTTGTTTTGTCGCTGAAATTAGAGAAGTGGGGGATTCTAACGCATTTTTTACGATAACTTTCACACACTTTTTGTGCGATTAAGAAACATCCGGTCATAGCTAAAATAATAAAGCTGAAAAACAACTCAACAATACTCACCAAGTATTACCCATAGTAGATAAACGAAATTACTGTACCCTATTTTACGAGCCTATACACAATGTGTACCCGGTCTTGTGAAAACAATCACGCATTACTTCCGATCACTGTACCTTACTTTGGAGCCCGAGCATTTCTTGTGATAACATGAAGTAGATTTGTTTATAAACTGAGCTTCCGCTGTGAACGTTATGAGCACTACTAACGGTGTGGACATTATAATTACCAGACTACTACTGAAGTATGACACTAGTAAAGTAATGAATATTACGAGTACTAGTAAGGTAATGAATATTATGAGTACTATTTAGGAAATGAATTTTAAGAGTACTAATAAAGTAATGAATATTATGAGTACTACTAAAGTTGTGAATATTAAGAGTATTACTTAAGTAATGAATATTATGAGTACTGCTTAAGTAATGAATATTATGAGTAGTGCTAAAGCTGTGAATATTATGAGTTTAAGTTTACTCAAGTTGTGAATATGAGTACTACTCAAGCTGTGAATATTATGAGTTTAAGTTTCACTCAAGTTGTGAATATTAGGAGTACTACTCAAGTTGTGAATTTTATGAGTACTTCTCAAGTTTTGAATGGTATGAGTTCTACTTAAGTTCTGTATATTATGAGTATTACCCATGTTTTGAACATCATGAGTACTACCCAATTAACAAGAGCTGTCACAGGAGACAGCGAAGCTCGACTAATAAAATACTGGACGCAGTAAGGAGGACAAAACTATGAAAGAAAAATCAATTATTTATAATTATGTATTAAGTTATAGTAAAAAAATAACATTTGTTAACATAAATTCCAAGATCAAGGGGAATAATTCTAGAAATAGTCATGCTAGAGTTATGGACCTTGCCACACAACATTTGTGTAATGATAAGAAATATATATTTGAAGTTTGAAGTAGATACCTTAAAAAATAATGAAGTTATTATATTTCTTAAAGAAAATCCTAAGTTCAAAGAGAGATAAATCTGTAAATATTGCTTCAAGAGTTATGAACATTGTCACATAAAATGTAATTGATGATAAGGAATAAGTATTTGAAGTTTGAGGTAGATACCTTTAAAAATAAAAAAGTTAAAATAAAAAATAACATTTTTCTAGTAAATAAATCTAAGTTTATGGGGAGATAATTCTTGCAATATTGGTGCTAGAGTTATGAACCTTGTCACATAAGATGTGGATGATGATTACATAAATATATTTGAAGTATGAAGTTGATCCCTTTAGAAATAAATAAGTTACAGTAAAAAATAATATTTTGTATGGAAAATTCTAAGTTCAAAGGGAGATAAATCTGAAAATATTGGTGCTAGAGTTATGAACCTTGTCACATAAGATGGGGATGATGATAACGTAAATATATTTGAAGTATGAGGTTGATCCCTTAAGAAATAAAGAAGAAACAGTAAGAAATAGTATTTTTTGAGGAAAATTCGAAGTTCAAGGGGAGATAAATCTGAAAATATTGGTGCTAGAGTTATAAACCTTGTCACATAAGATGAGGATGATGATAAGGTACATATATTTGAAGTATGAGGTTGATCCCTTCAGAAATAAAGAAGTATCAGTAAAAAATAGTATTTTTTAAGGAAAATTCTAAGTTCAAGGGGAGATAAATCTGAAAATATTGGTGCTAGAGTTATGAACCTTGTCACATAAGATGTGGTTGATAATAAGGAACATATATTTGAAGTTTGAAGTTGATACCTTAAGAAATGACAAAGTTATAGTGAAAAATATTTTACTGCACCAAAACTTTAATCTAAAATCTGGACGCGGACGCCGACGCCGGGGTGAGTAGGACAGCTCTCCATATACTTCGTATAGTCGAGCTAAAAAGCTACTGAAATCAGTATATAGAAAGAAACTGCAACTCAAAATAGAAACTTTTAACAATTTTATTCAAGGTAATGCGTTTTAAACTATACATGTATGTCTTACTTTTATAATTTATTTACATTTTAAGCAATCACTCCTGCAAAATCAAATTTCTTTGGCTGGGTTGCACAAACACTGTTAAGGTTATATAAGGAATTTTCAGCTTTACTGATGAAGAAACCCTCCACATTGCCCCTTCATGTGTTTATCCAGACTCAAGTGGACAAAACCACCAACTTCCCTTAAGCTCGCTTGATAGCTTTCTCACAAGAAAGAACCTGGGACTTTAAATACACACGTCCCAGAAAGAACAAAAGTCCCTGTTTCTGACCATGGCAATAACAACAATTACCTAATTCATGGGTTTTCGTTTCTATTTTACACGATCTTGGTCTAAAAAGCATTGAATATTAACAAACTGGCGCGTGATTTGTTTTTTTTAATATCAAGACATCACATTAGAATTTCTGCTGAAGTTGTAACCACAAATTCATTGAACCTTGAGTGGAGTATTAATTTCCAGATACAGAGATACCAGTGTATTCTATCACAAATGCTACACTTCATTGTATCGTTTGAGAGATAGCCTAGGGACAATGTTCATAGATAGCAGTTCTTGGAACAACAGTTTACAAGCATATGGCATTTTCAGTGTTGAAACATTCTTCGATGACTTGCAGTACTGACACCTAAAATAAAGAGATATATACAAGAATTCATCATATGTCCAAAACCTATGTATTCAGCTGAACAAGGACAAGGGTTTAAAAATAACTATTTTTATTGAGTAGAACATGTTAATTCTATGTGCAAGTAAATTGTAACTTATAATAACTTAAACAAACAATGGTGTAAATGGACGTGACCTCTTTTAGATTCGGAACTGTCTGTTGTTAATACAAGGATTTAAAATAGAGGATATTGAATAAGTGTAGGTTCAATACTGAATTTATTGAACCAATTAAATAAATTTATATCATGCAAGTCTCTGGCGAGCATAGTATCATTTCATTCAATGAGTTCAATAAATTGAATAAACTGCATTTCAACAAATACACCATTGCTTCATTTGGTTATAGAACACATTTCATTATTTTGTTGCTAGTTTTTGATTAGTGACCCTATAATGTAATCATGGAATTATCATATTTAACATCAATTACTGGAATTTGATGCCTTGATATATACATTATGTAATATAAGTTGTACTAAATTTACGAAAAAGCCTAATATACATGGTATCAAAATTAACAAATTATTATAAACAACTTTAAATAATTATTTTTAGGGAGTGCATGAGGATTATTAATTAATGTCTTGCAGTAAGAATTCTCTGTGCAATATATAGTCCCTAAAAATATATCCCAATACAGGTTTGTTGTGTTGTTGGCCAGCATAAAATCAACTTACCAGCCTAGATAGCCTAGAAGACCACACTGTTCACAAACATCTACTTCAAATGCATCACTTGATATCATCAGACGTTCCAACAATAACATACTGAAAATAAACAAGAAAACATATTAGAAAATCTACATACATCAAATGTAAAATTATTCTGGTACATCGTAGTGTTGCACCAGTGATGGAAAATATCATCTTACAAGCCTAAGAAAAGAGTGATGTGCATTCAAAATGAAATTATTTCATCATATTTTATAATTGTGTCACATGCTGAGGTTGAAGTAATTCGGCAAATAACTTGTAAATTCATATGCTACTGTAAACAACTAGTGCTACAGAAAATATTACTTTTGTAATAATAAATATGTAATATGGAAGAAAACAATAAATATGGCTACAATGTCTTAAAAGGTTTGGTTCAGCCTTTTGTACCGTAATTCAGTATTACAAGATTCAACCTGAACCCTCATTTATTGTCACAGCAAAAAGTTGGGTATTGCAAAATCATAACCATAACTCTTGAAGTGGTTACAAAGCCCTCACAAAGTTGTAAGTCAAAATGGGGGCACACTTTGGTCCAAATCCATTACAAATTTAACTTATCTTGCCTTCAAATGGTAATTAAAAGATATCTTAATGGGTTCTGTTAAATATTGAGGTAGTAAGAAATTGTTTTAACAAACTTGTGACACAGATGTGAATGCAGACGCCCATGCATAGATTGGGTGGCAGAGCTCTTCTCACATACGTGTATACTAATATGTCTATATGATACTTTCGTCAAAATGAAAGTTGAAATAGTGATGGAACTGAACTTCAAACATTTACCTAGCACCATATCCAATCAGACAATCTCTTTCCATTTCACCAAGACGTAGACCTCCATCCCGAGATCTTCCCTCCGTCGGTTGTCTAGTCAACACAGCTCGGGGACCTTTTGCACGAGCATGCATTTTATCTACAACCATGTGCTTTAACTTTTGATAGTAGATGGGCCCGAAATAAATATAAGCTTCAAGTGGTTCCCTGCGTGAAAAAAAATAAAATTTGACAACCAGTTGCATGAAATACTTTCAAAGATACTTAATACAAATGCATTTAAAATGTATTATTATGAACACACACATTTCCACACTTGCACTGCTATAATTGTCTTGCTTTGAATTTAGAACTTTAAAATTTTAAAAGATTTTAATATTAAAAATAAAAGAATTCAACAATTTGTATATATTTTCCTTAGATTTGAATATTTTTCTTTTAAATCACCTGCAGATATCCAGCTTTGACCAAGAGTGAGTGTATCGGGCTCAATACCTTTGCATGTTTAAATATCAGTGGATTACCACTAAACACTTCTAACTATCAACCAAAAACATGTACATGTAGTACTTTTTCTGCAGGCGTCTCTCATGTGGATTTAAAATGTAGATTATACATAAATGTATTGAAGAAACTAGAAATTGATGCCCCTACATTCTACTGTTCTGTCAGTCTACTCCTTGGGAGTGGAGGCATAATTGCAAAATCTTTAAACTGTACATACCCAGTGATACCAGAGGTGACATAGTCTTTTCCTAGGTAATTAAAACCATGTCTTATCAGATCTGCCGACAAATCTACAACCTTATCTCCACCAAAAGCTGAAACAAATACATATCAAAACATCATTTACACATTTAGTTGGCTATTAAAAGGATAACATATACCCTCAGGTCTAAAGAAATAGTGAAAAACTTCTAAGTTTATCATAGACTAACTAGCAATGTATTCATAGAACATGTATACCCCAACATTCAACAGTTTAGTCTATAGACACACACACACAGCAGGACAGCTTGACAGACGGACATGGCCAAATTTATATTTCCCCATCAAGCTGGATTATAAAAATAAGCACTTTAACACTTGATACAGGGCTCTAGGATTCACTAAAAATGCAATAAACCTCTTTTGGCCTTCCATGCCTTCAAAAGGGATGAATAAATATAGAGATCCTAGCAGTTAAACAACTAATCATAGTACATGAACTCTGTAATTGAAAAAAATGAAATACAATTTCTACCTGTTCCATAGTGAAATTTTCCATCCAATACACCTGCTTTACTTCCAAGTAATTCCATCAATTTACCAACTGTCATACGAGATGGGTAACCATGGGGATTCATGATCTAGATAAACATAAAGCAAAATAGGGCACTTGAATCTCTATTTAAAAATCAATGATGCTTTTTACTGTAAACCACAGCAATGCAAATGTTAAAGCAAAACTGTTTTTCTTGACCATATATTTATAACTCACATCTTCATTTTATAAATAATATTAGAAATATCCTAATCTGAGACTTGTATTTTACTCTCTAGTTGGTTTTGCAAGGCCAGGATGCCATGGATAATTATGAGCCAACATAGTACATGTAAAATCTAAAAGAGTTGAGTACAAGCTCCAGGTCAATTTACTATAAGAGTGACTCTTTAATAACAATCCAACTCCTATTTCAACTTTTTATCACTAGAGAAATGAAATTAGTTCTTTTCTATTTTGTTCGATTAAATGTTACACATATACTGTAATGGTCAAATTGAGACTTCCAAGTTTTACTAGAGAAGAAACACATCAAGTACACATTCGTGCAACATTTCATACATTAGCTGGTATATTAGTCAAACCATAAGTAATCTAGCAGGATAGCTTCATCAAATGGAAGAATCTAAAGCCACAGGCAGGTTTTGAACCAACAGCAGTGAAGGGAAAGTGATTCGCCAACTTTAACCACTTGGTCATGTAGACCTATTATTGCAATCAACATCATTTTGAATTATACTTGTATAAGTATTAAGTTTGTTTACAGTCATCAGATGTTTATGAATGTTCCAAAATAGACTGACAAAAAGCTGAATTTGAGCTGTATTTACTTATGTACAGTAAAAGGTCTATGTAGGAACCAATACTTACAATATCTGGACAAATACCCTGAAATTATAAAATTATAGGTGAGAAAGTATGGAACATACAAATCAACACTTCTTCTTTCATGAAAATACATGCATTATGAGATTCACAATAACATCCAAAATTATATCAAATAAGTAAAGTATTAATATATATGATAATAAAAAAATCCGTAGTTTCTGATTATCAATTATCATAAAGTACAGAACACTTGAAACACCTAGGGTTTTATTTATACACAATGTATTTGATTGTGTAGGAAGCTATAAGCTTATAGACCCACTCTCAAATCCATCCCAGGAGCAAATCAGTACTAAGCTTTGAGGTGAAGTTTCTTGCTCAAGGAAATGGCTTGCACCTGACAGGGTTTTAACCCTAACAGCCTTAAATCCTTATGTTACTAGATCAACACTCAAGATAACCATATACATTTGTAGTATATAAAAATTCTAAACAAGTGATATATGAAAATATATCTCATAATCTGTACATATATCAATATGAAGTTGAAGGCACAAAAGTACAGTTCATATTGCTCTTTAAATCAAATTACTGAGCTTAAACTCACAGTCTTTGCTAGCAGCATTTTCTAAAGAAAACCTGTTTTACCTTTAAACTGCAATAAACACTATAAAAATATAGTGTAATCAAGTTGTTTTTACAAGAATCTGATATAAAAAAAATTAAATAAATTACCAGATCAGTGAAAGGCATATCAGATTGAGGAACTATCAGCCCACATACACTGAAAGAGAGCAGAACAACTGAATGATAACAATCTCATAAAATGTCATTAAAAAAACAAATTTAGTGAATTTGTATTCCTTCAGGAATTAGATATACAAGGATTTTCAAATTTACCAGTTTTGGACCTTCTTTAGGTGTTCTATTTCTCTTTATCTTATTCCCTTTTTGTCAGCCAAAAAATACAAGAAGTTTTGTGCATTAAGTTTAAGATAAATTCAAATGTGGTAAAATTTACCAGCACTATTTTTAATTATATAGACTTAACTATCATTGAGTGAAAAACCAACTTTCATATCAGTGACTTAAAAAAAACACGACAAAACGGAAATCGATCCACTGCGTATCAACCATACCCTTTCTGTCCATGTCTGCTACTGAACTTGTCACCAATCTCAGGACGACGGGTCTGTCGTAATAACATCTTCACCAAGAAAGCTTCTTCTGGATTGGATGAGATCATCACTTTCTCTATATACGATGGTTCCGGACCTTTATACCTACATAACAATAACAGTGTAACAATTTACATGATTTTATTAAGTATATTTTTATATAAACATTAATCATGCCAAATTGACTTACTGTGAATTCACTTAATTTTGTGGACATGAAATTTCGTGGTCTTGTCGCAAATAAAATTTTCATTGATACTTAAATTTGTGGACTGTTTATTTTTCCAAAAGGTAAAATAAAAATAATGTGATGAAAAATAATCTTACAGCAGACAAAATGAAATTTCGATGGACCTAAGATTTGTGGATAGTTATGTAGTATTCAACTAAAGGATGACTTACGCTATAGGTACCTCCCTGTACTCTGGTTGCTTGTCACGATCTGTCGAGCTGAGAGGAGTGTTTGTGACAGTTGGCATCCATTTGTTCACAAACACTTGCTTGTTTTCTATTTTCTCACCTTAACACAGAAATAAAATACTCACATTTACACATGAAGCTAGTTTTATGTATATGTTTTCTTAGCTTTTAGAATAATGACAACTGTGACTTATTTCAACCTATTCTGGGAGGATCATGTCAAGACTATTAGCTCTTAAAACATTATGTATTCAAAGCTCAGTTTATTTGAACCACTCCTGGAACTTACCATTGCCAGTGTCATATCATAAAACATGATCTATGACCCCTGTAGGGGTTCAACCCATGATCCCTGGGTTAAGAGGCAGACACTTTAACCACTAGGCCACCTCCCCAAACTTATGAATTAGTGTGAATGGACAAGTCTATTTTGTAATTCAGAACTTACGAGCACCAAGGGATGGTGCACCTACGTGAAGGCCAGAGATCCAACTAGGAGCTTTGTAACTGCAGAATCTTTAATACACACCAATGTAAAAATAACAAAAAGAGCAGCAATCAGTACAGAGTTTGATTAGACAACATGGATGTATCAATAATACATTACAGAGTTTAATTTACATATACATATACGATACTTTATGAAACATGTTTATGTTTTTACCTGGTGCACATATTCCATCTGAGTCAAGAGCAGAATGTCGCCAAACTGGTTTACGTGTGGTTGCATCAACCATTGGTCCCATGACCTTATCAAATGTTTGATTAGCATATCGTTTTAGGGTACATTGCTGCTTCCTGTATACCAAACATCTACCAAATCCTGATAATAATATCTTTGTATGATTAAAGAAATAACATACATATCAGTATGTTTTTCTACATTTCATCAGTTTTTATATATTGGACCAAATGCAAATAACATCATCATTACTTATACAGTCAAACTTGTGTTAAATATCACCTCTAAACAAAGATCATCCTGTAACTTAAGACCATTTTTAAACAGCAGTCCATTGATTTAATAGAGCACATTAACCTCCAAATAAAGACCACGTTTAGTCTCCACTTAGGTGGCCTTTGAACAAAGATGTTCATCAGATAAAAGTTGTATAATTTACCCCGGTCTAGTGAAGATTTGTTTATAACAAGAGCATCTTCAATATCGTAGCCACTGTAAGACATAACAGCTACTGTAGCATTCTGACCTGCTGGTAACTTGTCAAAGTTGATCAATTCTATAGTCTGAAAATACAAGCCAATCTAAATCAAAACTTAAACAAGCTAACTACTGAATTTCATTGTGTCTTCCATAACATTTTATTTTTTTGGGGGGGGGGGGGGGGGGGGGGTGATGTCCAGAAAATTCTGGGCAAGGGCAAGCAAGTTTTACAGTTGAACAGATATACAATCTAAACTAGATACATGTTTTTACAGTGTTTCTCATTATAATTTATCCTTTGATACCATAAAATATATTTTACGTTTTAATCTAAATTGAAAAAAATACATTTGTAAAAATATAAATTTGCAGTTTCAAATTTAAAGCATGACAAATTCATAGCAACAATTTAGATTATAGACTTAAAATAGCACTAGTAAAATTGTTTAGTTGAGGATTTTATGTTAATAAGTGAAATTATCCTCATGAGTATCACTGTTCAGGTAATCAAGATTTACATTTTTAAATGTTTTCAATTTTTAATAACATCACTGTAATATAATTACCTTGACTCACTAACAATCAAATTCTTCTAATAATCAACATTCAATTTATAAAAGTGGGCAGTCTAATTTCATGTGCTAATGTAACCCATTATATTATAGTCATTATGTTAATATCAGCTTTGAATATAATGTATTTTGGCTTGACATTGAAAATGAGCATAATGTCACTTTAAATAAGTAGTGGTATAAATGACCTTTGACTTGACTAGAGGAGCCTGTGGGTAACACAGGAGGTACATCAATGTGTCAATTCTATTCCTCTGGTTATAACCAATTGTGCCTGAAAACAACAAAAACAACATCTAAAATAAACAAACACTATCAAACATTTAACAACAACACATCAAGTATCAAGACTCTCATCATTAATACCCTCATTATTGTCATATGGATAAAAAGAGTATAATGTGAGATCCAGAAAGTATATTAATCCCAACCTGTTGTAGGAACAGTTCTTTTGAAGTGCTGATTCAAAGTCATCAGTAGAAAAAAAACACAGTTCAAACTTTTATTACCGTTCCAGATTTTCCCCCCTTTTTCGAGTGGATATTGAAAGAAATTAATATGAACCAGCCAGACAGGTAATATTCACACTAAATTTGCCCGTTGGGTACCCAACATGTAAACAACATGCGCGTACGGTTGGATGTTACACAGTGTAAATTCCGATATACAAGCACTTTTTAACTGTCAAATTAAAAATATTGCCACCAGTATAGAGCCTACTCTACCATACATTCTAATAATGGCTGCTAAATTTTAATATTGATAATTCCTAAAACCCACATTAAAAAATCCTAAATTCAAAACAGGGCATGCCAATATACAAACTTAAAAGATAACAATGAAATTGTCGGTACCCATGGCTTGTTTTCCCATAGCACACTGGTATGTATTCCTGGGTGACTGGTTATGATGAGGGTACGGGATAAGACCAGCACATACACCCAGAATGGTGAATGGTTCAATCTCTAAATGTGTCGAATTTCTGTAACATATATCATATTATTATTACATCTTATGTTATTGAATTATTACACCTTATAATATTGTATTATTACACCTTATGTTATTGTATTATTACACCTGACATCATTGTGTTTGAAGCTGTTAAACAAACAAGAGACAGCAAATTTATAACAAGAGGGCCATGATGGCCTTGAAATCGCTCACCCATATATGGGCCCCCGGGGCAAGCCAATTTAAACACAGGGGCTTTTATTTGAATAAACTTGGTAGACACCCATTTGATAAATATCTTAGATCTAGCTGTAAGAAGATTTTTTAAAGTTTTTACTATACACATATAGGGAAAAACTCTGGGTGGAGTCAATTTTTATCCCTAGGGCTTTTATTTGAACAAAAATGGTAGTCACTCACTAGGAGATAGTTCTAAACTCTAGCTCTTTGGGTTTTTTAAAGGAAGTATTTTTAAGTTTTTACTATAAACATATAAGGAAAATCAATGATCCCCGGGGCGGGGCCAATTTTGACCTCAGGGCCCTTATTTGAACAAACTTGGTAGATACCCACTAGAAGATGATTTATGCTTAATATCTAAGCTCTAGCTAATTGGGCTTTTTAAAATAAGATTTTTTAAGTTTTTACTATATACAAATAAGGAAAATCAATGACCCCCCGGGGCGGGGCCAATTTTGACGCCAGGGCATTTATTTGAACAAACTTGGTAGACACTGACTAGATGATGTTTCATGCCAAATATATAAGCTCTAGCTCTTTTGGTTTTCTAAAAGAAGATATTTTAAGTTTTTTCTTTCGGTTGCCATGACAACCAGAGTTCTGCTTAGAATTAAATTCTTTGAACAATTTTAAAAGTTCACTAGCAAAGGAACATTCTTGTGAAGTTTGAATGAAATTAGCTTAGCGGTTTATGAGGAGATGTTGTTTAAAGTAAAAGTTTACAGCCGAACGCCGGACGAAAAGCGATCACAAAAGCTCACCATGTCACTTTGTGACAGGTGAGCTAAAAAATTGAAGTTATGTAAACATATTAACAATTTTATTTCAAATCTATTGAAATTACCCTAAGCTATTAGCATCATTGGACAATCGTAGAAAATTGTTGGCAAATAAATCACCTTATCCTTGCAAATCTATATATATGTCATTTATGAACATTGTCTCTCATAAGGTGTTGCTCTACAGAGGTTATACACTCATACAGCAGATACTTACGATGTAATTTCTTTCTCATATAATGAGATCATGCAGTCATTTTCTTCATTTACATCTAAATACTCAACTAAACCTTCTTTCAGAAAGTCCTCAAAACATCGGAAACCCTGAGATAACTCTTGTATGTGCTTTGTTTTCACTAGTGGTTTCCCTTTGCTTACTATAATATATGGTCTGTAAAGAAAGGTAGATTACATTAAGAAAAATAGCAAAATTTGAAGACTTCCTGCTAGAAAAAATTGCAAAAATTTATTTTGGAAAAATCTGTCAATTCTAAATGGCATGACATTCTCATAATAAACAGTATACATGTAGAAAGTTTGAAGAGAATACATGTAGTTTGAAAATAGTTTTTGAGAAAATGGATGTTAACAAAAAGGTTAATCAATGCCAATGTCAACAAAGCTCTTCAAAAAGTGGAGCAAGAAATGCAGTGTCAAATAACAATTTTGCTGTTTTTTTTCTTCTTTAATTTTCATATAGTTTACAGTATCATGTGATAAAAAAATCTAACATTTGTTGATATTCTACATGGACTTACATCAAAACTCATCCAAATGATATACATGTATTGTCATCGGGTTAACTCCTATTAAAATATATAAGGAGTTACACCATTATAATATATAAGCTGCAGAAATATTACAGTACGCACCTACAGACTCTGCCAGCATCTGATGAGATATATACACATCTGTGGGAATGGCTAGGACAAATAGACACAAACTCATTTATATATCCCGCCCTCCTCATCAGACGGAACGTATAGACAAGTCTCTTGTAGTTACGTATTACTCCAAGTATATTACCTGAAAATACATCATTACAATTTACAATATATGTGGTTTGCGTAGGAAATTGATATTAGATTTGAGTGCATAGTTGTAGAATAATGCACAGTTTAAGACACAGGAATATAATCACAAAGGCCAATAGCATTTGCACCATGCAAGATAAATATTTATTTCCATTCTACCATGAATTGATAATAAAAAAGAGAATTCTTAAAAATATGTTGAATTACATTGAGCGTAGAAGTAATTTTCCTGATGTATTTGGTTCATTGACATCATAAATGGCGACATATGAAATGTTAAGACTTATTTTTATGATGTTTAGTTCAGTGTAAGATCGGAATATATTTCACCGAATGAGTACCAAAGAGGTGAAATATATTTCGATCTTACACTAAACTAAATAAACTTTCTTTTTATTATATGTAAAGAAACGTTTTAAAAAGACATTTAACCTAATACTAAATGAAAAGCGTGCCAAATAATAATACAACGTGACATCATTTACGATGTCACGTCATTAGGTTGGTTTCCAGTACTGTGCACGCTGGTAATTCACTGAAACAATGTTAAGGGGCTTAAATTCAAAACAGTGAAATTATCAAATTGATAATAATGCACATGACTGCCCTATCTGTCTGATAAGAGTAGTTTAAAGCATGGAATAATTTTACATAACATCACATCAATACTATAACTTTGCAGCTTTACTGCTGGAGGAAGATCTCATGTGCATCACCTAGCATCATCAGTCACAAGTAGAACAACCAAGTTCTATAAGTGACATGCAGCTTGATAGCTTCATTATATGACAGAACAGATAGTCCCCCATTTCATTCTATTAACCTTCAGCAGTGAGGGGCAAGAGATAATTAACCTAAAAGCTTCACCATGATGGTCTGTAGATTTTTCAATGTCACTAAATTCTAGTATCAATATAATCAATATATAGAGGGATAAGTAAGTATATATATATATATTTTTTATTAGGTTTTACATTGCACCAACACTGTATATGTCATATGACGGCCTTTCAGCTTTACTGGTGGAGGAAAACCTCAGGTGCACTTCTGTGCGTTATTTTAGGCACAAACTGGCATCAGATTAAAACCAATGACGCTCTGTAAGGTTGCTGGATAGCTTTCTCACATGAAAGAATCCAAGACGTTGCAACAGATGTGCACCCATGTTCAATTGATTAAAGTTCATACAGTACAACCTATGCATAGCAATTACCTCATTACAACAGCAGCACCAATTTTTCCACAAGTACTGCTTCACAATAAATTTTCCTCTGAAAAGCAACACCTTACAGCTACAACAAAAGTCTTGTCTCCCAAGGTGTGTTGCTCTACACAGATTGTACTGTATTTTGCATAAAGCTGTTTTGGATTTCAAAAAGTTTCTCAGCATAAGTTTTGCTACAATCATAAAGTTGGTTGGTTGATACTTTGGTGATATTTGCCTTTTTCATGATATTTCTAATCTCAACCATGCATTGTCTTATATGTATGAAATGTAACTAGTAATATAAGAAATTTCTTACCATTAAGGAAAACAATATAAACTAATTTGCTGGTGATTTCTGCACCACTCAGTAACTGTATATCCTCTACACCAAGGTTGAAGGCCAGTCGTATAATTGGGGCCTCATCATGGTCTGTGGTAATATGTGTCATCAATGCAAGATTCTTGACTAAACCACAAGCCTAAACATATTGATAATAATTGTGTCAGTCGATTGTCACCTTAACATCCATCCTAGCCCACCAGAGAAATAACGTGAAATATGACTTTTGGGTTATTAAACCTACTATTAAAGCCCTACTCTGCATAGGCAGTCAGTTTGTAGAAATAATACTTAAAGGTCTTTGTTTTTTTGTTTGTTTTTCTGTTGTTTTTTACGCCCGATTTAACACATTTTTAGTCATGTCTTGGCAGTCAATCCCCATGCTTTTCTGGATAACTAACATGATTTTAAATTAGTTGTGAGAGTCAAATGACTGCTTGACTCAATGTTTGAGATCAATTGTCACACAGAAATTACGCCTCACCCGAGAATCCAACCAGCAACTCGTGCACTCACTATTTGAACTAAGCAGGCGGGCCCACTATAAGTACCCACATTGATAATTGGACAGTATCTACCCTACTATGGTCCCAAAACCACAACATCAACTTTTCAATAAGGTGAAAGTTGAAAAGTATAAACTTGGCAAATTTCCCTACCACAAGTATTTCCTCCAGTTGAAACATTTATGTTTTCTCTCCTGATGATAAAAAATTTAGCTCTTCTATCTCATTCAATGATGTAGACACAGTGGTAACACTGACAAATATTACATGCTAATTTTTTTTCCAATGAACAAAAAAATATTTTCACCTTTAAAATTGAATATTTAAGATGAATTCAAGGCATATGCTAAGTGTATGTGATTGGTACAGATACTTGGTGACTATGCTTGCTTTAAATGCTTGGCGTCTGTGCCTAATATGTATGACTGGTATAAATGCTTGTTTCATATGATTAACTTGTAAATGGTAAATATACAGGCTTGGTGTATATTCCTGATGTAACTGCTAGGTGTATATGCTTATTGAATATGCTTACCTCTCCCTCAGGTGTATCTGATGGACACAACATTCCCCATTGAGATGGCTGCAGAGATCTAGGACCACTTACTTTACGTGTTTTCTCAAACTGTAAACAAAATGGTCATAATAACTCAATTTCACTCAACAGAACCTTTACAGTCCTTAAAGATTTGAAAGTAAGGTAACAGTATGAGTACATATCCCAATAAAGACAATTATCTTACAAAAGTAAGCTACAATGCTGAAAGAAAGGTGAAGAGGAAGAACACCTAACAGATTGTGGGTCAATACCCTTCAGAGTTGAGATATTCCTTTGGTTTCTTCAATCCAGTCCACATTGATGCAATAACAGCTTAGGACACCTTGGGAGCAGCCATGTAATGCAACTTTTAGTGCTTAGGTTTGATGTAAGAAGAAAATGACAAATCCAAACTATAATTATATTGTTCCCTAGAAGTTGAGAAAACACTCATGAGAATAGTGAAAATTAAAGGAAACGGAAGTATGGTGTTTACCTGTGAAGATATCCTAGTCATCATTCCAAGAGCTGAGATATAGGACAATCTTGATAGTACCTGTGTTACACCTGCTCGATCCATCTTAAATCTCTTAATTGTCCAATTACCCTGAAGTAAAATACACATCTTTAGATATACAAATATACTTACACATATAATAAGTCTTTTATATAGCAGTTACAGATTTTTGACAACTGTCAAATCACATGAGGGTATTTAGACACGCTGCTTGCAAAATTTTATTACTTCATGGCGAAAATCCCTTAAATTTATTTTATTAGGACAACATTTAAGATCATTGAATAGGTTTAGAAACAGCTTTGCTGCAGAATACATAGCCAATGATAAAAATGTCTACATAAACAGATTTACAATAAATCATATATTAACTTCTGAAAGGGCGTTTTTTTTTCTGATACAGTGGACTCTCGTTATCTCGAAGTCATCGGGACCGTCAAAAAATATCGAGATAACGAAATGTCGAGATATACATATAAGGGTTTGAATAAGGCAGAAACTGATTTTTAGAAAAGACATGTGCATAGTTTATGTCAAATTAACCAGATATCCCCATGTCTTGTTTTCATAGGCCTAGTCAATATTTATCAAAGTCACATAAGCGGATGTTTACCAGCGGAAATACGGGTGTCTGTGATAAAAACACATACTGAGGTTTAATCAGTAATACACCAATAAAGTGAAAACATTGTTTTCAGGGTGGTTGATCCGGATATCCTCTCGGGTTATTTATTGGGTCTTTCTCGAGATTGTTCGACCGCTGATGGATTTGGTGGTGATGTTGTGAAACAATATTGCAACGATAGCGTTTCTATACTTTCACTATTTCATTTACATTTAAAGTCATAATGAATTGATACAGTGTTCGAATATTTATAAAGAACGTAAAATTCACTCATTTTAGACATAAGTCAATCAACACGCTAGATTATTATTTATAAAAACAGCTTTACTTGTTACAAACATAATCATCATTATGACACGGGGTATTGAGCAATTATTGTCTAGTTTGTGTTTTTCACACGTCTGGAGGAACAGACGAAAGAAAATTATTAGTCGAGATAAACAAAGTATAATAGTGTGAAAATAACTGTTGGGGCTGAAATTTTACATTGAGATACTGAAAATATCGAAATAAAAATATCGAGATAAACAAATATTTCCAATATAGATAAAGAAGGAAGAAAATCGGGACTTTCAAAATTTCATCGAGATAACGAAATATCGAGAAATGCGATGTCGAGATAACGATAGTCGACTGTAGTAGTGTATATTTGTGATTAGTGAGACCACTAACTTACAGAAGATATAGTATGAACCAATCAGTTACACTAACTTACAGAAGATAAAGCATGAATCTGTCTGTTACACAAACTTACAGAACATATAGCATGAACTAGTCTATTACACTAAATAACAGAAGATATAGCATGAACCAGTCCGTTTCACTAACTTACATAAGATATAGCATGAACCAGTCTGTTCACTAACTTACAGAAGATATAGCATGAACCAGTCTGTTCACTAACTTACAGAAGATATAGCATGAACCAGTCTGTTCACTAACTTACAGAAGATATAGCATGAACCAGTCTGTTACACTAACTTACAGAAGATATGGCATGAACCAGTCCGTCACATTTACTTTAGAAGATATAGCATGAACCAGTCTGTTCACTAACTTACAGAAGATATGACATGAACCAGTCAATTACAATAACTTTCAGAAGATATTGCATGAACCAGACTGTTACACTAACTTACAGAAGATATAGCATAAACCAATGAACCAGTCCGTTACACTTACTTACAGAAGATATGGCATGTATGGCATGAACCAGTCCGTTACACTTACTTATAGAAGATATGGCATGAGCAAGTCCATTACACTAACTTACAGAAAATATAGCATGAACCAGTCTGTTACACTAACTTACAAAAGATATAGCATGAACCAGTCTGTTCACTAACTTACAGAAGATATAGCATGAACCAGTCTGTTCACTAACTTACAGAAGATATAGCATGAACCAGTCTGTTCACTAACTTACAGAAGATATAGCATGAACCAGTCTGTTACACTAACTTACAGAAGATATAGCATGAACCAGTCTGTTCACTAACTTACAGAAGATATGGCATAAACCAGTCTGTTACACTAACATGAACCAGTCAGTTATACTTACTTACAGAAGATATAGCATGAACGAGGAGTACGTTACACTAACTTACAGAAGATAAGCATAAACCAGTCTGTTACACTAACTTACAGAAGATATAGCATGAACCAGTCTGTTCACTAACTTACAGAAGATATGGCATGAACCAGTCCGTCACATTTACTTTAGAAGATATGACATGAACCAGTCAATTACAATAACTTTCAGAAGATATTGCATGAACCAGACTGTTACACTAACTTACAGAAGATATAGCATAAACCAATGAACCAGTCCGTTACACTTACTTACAGAAGATATGGCATGTATGGCATGAACCAGTCCGTTACACTTACTTATAGAAGATATGGCATGAGCAAGTCCATTACACTAACTTACAGAAAATATAGCATGAACCAGTCTGTTACACTAACTTACAAAAGATATAGCATGAACCAGTCTGTTCACTAACTTACAGAAGATATAGCAAGAACCAGTCTGTTCACTAACTTACAGAAGATATAGCATGAACCAGTCTGTTCACTAACTTACAGAAGATATAGCATGAACCAGTCTGTTACACTAACTTACAGAAGATATAGCATGAACCAGTCTGTTCACTAACTTACAGAAGATATGGCATAAACCAGTCTGTTACACTAACATGAACCAGTCAGTTATACTTACTTACAGAAGATATAGCATGAACGAGGAGTATGTTACACTAACTTACAGAAGATAAGCATAAACCAGTCTGTTACACTAACTTACAGAAGATATAGCATGAACCAGTCTGTTCACTAACTTACAAAAGATATGGCATGAACCAGTCAGTTATACTTACTTACAGAAGATAGAGCATGAAGGAGGAGTATGTTACACTAACTTACAGAAGATAAGCATAAACCAGTCTGTTACACTAACTTACAGAAGATATAGCATAAACCAGTCAGTTATACTTACTTACAGAAGACATAGCATGAACCATGTCATTACACTAACTTACAGAAGATATAGAGGATATTTGTTTGTTTTGCATTTACTGAGTGAACAACAGATGCAATATCTTCATGAGTGGCATAGCCACGAGTGAAAATATAATAGCTGGTGTTCACAAATGAAATATATTTCAGTCTTATATGTAAAACAAATAAATTTTCTTCTCATTTCAAGCTTTTTAAGTGATTGTAAATATTTTTTACTGATTTTGCCGCGTAACATCGCGCATTCTCCTTTATGACATCATCACATCATGACGTCACATCATCAATTTTGAAATATAGTTCTGTCAAATTTCTCTAATTTTGTTACATTTTTTTCACGAAGTGTGATGACATGGACTGTCATTTTCTAAAGAAGCAAAATGTATGTATGAAGGCATTTAGATTTACCCTTGTCCGTCCGTCCGTCCGTCTGTCTGTTCACTTTTGTGTCGCCTGTAACTCAAAAAGTATTTGACCTAGAGTCATGAAACTTTACAGGAATGTTGATCAGCATGTGTAGTTGTGCACCTGGGTTTTTTCGTGTGGATATTTTTAGTATTTTCAGAGTTATTGCCCTTGACTTAGTTAAATTTTGCAATTTTCAACTTGTGTCGCATGTAACTCAAAAAGTATTTGACCTAGAGTCATGAAACTTTACAGGAATGTTGATCAGCATGTGTAGTTGTGCACCTGGGTATTTTTGTCAGGATATTTTTAGTATTTTCAGAGTTATTGCCCTTGACTTAGTAAAATTTTGCATTTTTCAACTTGTGTCGCATGTATTTCAAAAAGTATTTGACCTAGAGTCATGAAACTTTACAGGAATGTTGATCAGCATGTTTAGTTGTGCACCTGGGTATTTTCGTGTGGATATTCTTAGTATTTTCATAGTTATTGCCCTTGACTTAGTAAAATTTTGCAATTTTCAACTTGTGTCGCACGTAACTCAAAAAGTATTTGACCTAAGGTCATGAAACTTTACAGGAATGTTGATCAGCATGTGTAGTTATGCACCTGGGTATTTTTGTCTCGATATTTTTAGTATTTTCAGAGTTATTGCCCTGGAGTTAGTAAAATTTGGCAATTTTCAACATGTGTCGCACGTAACTCAAAAAGTATTTGACCTAGAGTCATGTAACTTTACAGGAATATTTATCAGCATGTGCAGTTGTGCACCAGGTATTTTCGTGTGGATATTCTTAGTATTTTTAGAGTTATTGCCCTTCACTTAGAAAATTTTTGCAATTTTCAACTTGTGTCGCAAGTTTCTCAAAAAGGATTTGACATAGTCATTAAACCTTATGGGCAGGTTGCTCAGCATATTTTAGATTTGCACCTGGGGTTTTGCTTGTGGATTTATCCAGTATTTGTAGAGTTATTTCCCTTGACTTAGTAAAAAGATTGACAGAACTATGGCGCGGTGGGGGCACCCGTGTCATATGGACACATTTCTAGTTTTTTCCAGATATTTCATTAGTTTTGATATTCTTTCATCCACATCCACATGTAGTCCGGCTACAGTGAAAATTATATTTTATAAATTTTACTAGTGGTTTATCAGAATATAATCATCTGATATATAACAATAACACACTGGAAAGCATTAAATAAATAGCATGAACCAGACTGTTACACTAACTTACAGAAGATATAGCATGAACCAGTCCATTTGTTATCTGATCTTGTCTCATATGTTTTACAATATCAAACTGGGCTGCTCTTGGCTTTGGTATGGTCACATCAGCTATCTTCTTCAACTAGAAAAAAGTGATAGATCATACATTATCAATGCAGGTAAAACAATTAAATTTCATCAGGCAAAATGCTACATAAATATAAAAGTAGTTCTGCAAAGCCTTTGTTAAGGCCAAAGCTAAAGAAGTTTTGTTTCTGGTCTCCAACCAAAGTTTAGGCAAGTAGGAATATCTTTTTGAAACAAATAATTGTTAGGTAATTTTAAAATAATTCTATACAATATATTTTTATATAATTATCTATTAGACACAGTCCTGTGATTTCACAAAAAGTGTATTTTCAGACAATAATGAAGAAAATTTGGTTATGTCAATAACCCACTTTTAGACCGACTTAATGGTTAGAATGTAATGTCACTTGGTGATATTATGTAATGTTGAATGATGCAGTTATGGCAATTAAAACAATTAATCATGTAAGGAATAATAATATCCATTATAACATTCAAAGCATTTCTGTTCCTACCTCTGCATTGAATTTCTTAAAGAGATCTTCAAAGAGTAATGATATAAGTGAGCCAGCTAACTCCAACCTCTTGTTACCATAGTAATCTCTGTCGTCTGCCTTCACCATTCCTAACTGAGCTTGTATTACACGACGTACCATCAGTGCCAGATATACAGCTTTCAACTTGAAATTCCATTCTACAACCTTTGAAATAAATGTTTGAGATTAATAATTATTGTCACTGAGAAGTTTCGCCTTGTCTGAGAATCAAACAAACTCCCCCTGACTATAAATCATATACTCTCCTTATCAAGCTAAGCAGTCATACATAGAATTTTTTAACAAGACCTGCATTTTGAATGAGATCTCTGAAAAACTTTTTGAAGTCTGAAAAATATTCACATAACAGGGCCAGCAAGATATGATTTTGACTTTCTTGTCCAATTTTTATTGGAAGCATTTTTTCACTTGTCCGAATTATATCTATACAGTAAATTATTGAAAATTTCCACTTGTCCTTGCAGGCTGTGAGAAAATTTTGAAAATAAGAACAATTGATTTTCCTACCCCTTTAGACAATACAGACTTTATTAGCATTACCACTCAGGCAGATAAATCAAAACTAAACACAGTAAAACACGAATTGGTACATGACCCTTGACTACTAAATGTACAACATTATAAAGTAATGGATAAGTCAGAAGTACACAAGACAAGAATTTGTAACAGAGTTACCAACGTCCCCCGCCTCGGGGAAGTTTTATATAAATTCTTAAAATTGTGCTATTTCAAAGTTTGAGGTATGGATTTCAGGACTTTCAGTACAAAATTATGATCAATGTTAGATCTGCAAATGCAGCAATAAATTTATTAAAGAAATACTAGTAAAATGAAACACGGAATTTAAAATTCTACCATGTTAACCTTTGACCTCTAAGTGTGATCCTTTCAAAGATAAGAAAGTTATGGACCGGACACAACATATACCATCAAATAGACAATGTTGACCTTGAATGAGCAAGTGCGACCTTGACCCTGGAAATAGGGGTGTGGTTGATGCGCATGACACATCTTCTTATTATAACAAACATTTGTGCCAAGTTATTTCAGATTCCTTTTCATTAATGAAAAAGTTATGGACCCGACACAAAATATACCCTGTAATAGACCATATTAACATTTGACCTCCAAGTGTGACCTTGACCTTGGAGGTAGGTGACCGGTTGTTGCGCATGACACATTGTCTCATTATTGTAAACAATTGTGGCAAGTATTTACAAAATCCCTTAAAAGATAAGAAAGTTATGGACCGGACATGACATATACCATCAAATAGACAATGTTGACCTTGAATGAGCAAGTGCGACCTTGACCCTGGAGGTAGGGGTCTGGTTGTTGCGCATGACACATTGTCTTATTATAACAAACATTTGTGCCAAGTTATTTCAGATTCCTTTGATAAATGACAAAGTTATGGACCGGACACGAAAGTGTGACGGACAGATGGACAGACGGACGTACTCACAAAATGGTACTTATGTGACTTTTCCTTTGATCTTTTTGGCCATTTTTAGTCACACAAGGCTTAAAAAAAGACACACAAGTAAAAACGGAATGAATAGGATCAAAGAGAATTTACTGTTACCCAGTCACACAAGTACCTCTGGGTTCGTACGGAGGGACAGACGGACGGAGCCTATTACTATATCCCCCTTTTTTCTTCGAAAAGGCGGGGGACAATAAAAGACTTACTGGTACATGAGCTAGAACTACACCATGTAAAACATCCCTTGCTTCATCAACCTTTGTCTTTTTTGGTCCTCCCCACATTCGTCTCTGTCGAATACGATTCCCAATATATTTCAAAGCCTACAAGAAAAAAGAAAATGTATATTAACCATAGTTGCTGAATAGATAAAACAATACGTAGGAAATTAAGTGCCTAGAAACTTGTTTATACAGGTTATCTGGATAACATAAACCTTTGACAATGAACACAGCCATGCATGGGGCCACTCTCAACTTTTTCTTACTTCCAAAGGCAAACACATTAGAAGAACAACATTGTAGTGAATGGTATAAAAAAACAACATATTTTAGTGTACAGAATTCAATTAAATTTCAAATTTTTCCTGTACTGGGCAGGAACCAGTTTCCGGGCAGAATTCGAGTTTTTTTTAATTGTCTATTTTTTTCATAATAAACATGCATTAATAAAACTATCATACCAAAAACCTGAGTTCTAACTACGTCCGATAACACAAGCAATGTACAAACTGAAGGGTTAAATTAAGTTATCAAAAGTGTAAATTGTTCACTCTTGCAGAACCAGTTTCCGGACATATATTAAGCTGCTATTCATATCTGTTTTTAACTGATAATTATTCTAATATAACAAAAAAATTCTTCTCACATATTAGCTTTCTTATATAATTAAGCTGATTTACTGATAGGAAAAATAACGATCACGTGATGGGTCTCGGAATGACTGAAAAGTGAAACAGATATTTTTGTGTTTACGGCAGCAACGAAGTGCGAAAGTGGAGTAAACCTAGCTAAACACCGTTTTCCGATACGTTACAGATTTAGCTCTGGGGATTTACACCCAATGAACTTTCGAATGAAGTACATTGTGCATTAATTGCTACCCCAAATTATATCCCGAAATAAACAAAATATTGCGCATGCGCAGAACAATTTACATGCCCCAAAGGGATATAAGGCTGTTTTTAAAACACAGGTAAGATATCCTCACGAAATTTTAATGATGTATCAACTTGGAAGGAAGTTTATTTTCTCAAACAATCAAACCAAGCATCTTCATGACATATAATACCGATCGTCATCGATAAAGCCAAAATTAAGCCGTTATAATACTTGTCCGGAAACTGGTATTGTCCGGAAACTGGTTCCTGCCCAGTACAGTTAAAATCATTATCAAATAAAGTCATATTTGAATTATGTAACATGTTGCTTTAGTGTTGCTTTTCTTAAGTAAAAAGAATGGGAATGGGGAAGTGTCAGTTTATCTAGCATCCCTGTAAACAGTAAAAAATTATGGCTGATATGCAAGAATCCAAAAATTAGCCAAGAAAATGAAATGCTAGGTAAAGTATATATACCTGTAAATGAGTAAACACTCCCGCTTTATGACACTCCTCTAGACCCGGGGCTACAGCCGCTAGCACCTCCTCCTCACTACCTATCATCTGTACAAACTCCTGCTCACATTCAAACCCCATTGCTTTAAACACAATTGCTATTGGAATGTCCTGTATAATACAAAATATAATAAATAAATTACTAAAATTTTGAAAAGTTTGATAAATCACAGATTGTTATTTTCTTGCATATCAGACAGGATTATCTACCGTTTCAGTGTTGCTAGTTAACCCTGTCTTACACCCCCCATGTAAAACAAGTCGCGTGCTTTAAATGACGTCATTGCCCAGCTTTTATGAATGAATTGCGTTCTAAGGAATACGTCATTTTTCAATTATAAAGACGGGAATATCTAGCTCTCGGGTAACTGTTTAACGGAAACTCGGCAGAGCCTCGTTACCGCCGTAAACAGTTACCCTCGAGCTAGATATTCCGGTCTGTACCGGCAGGCGGTGTTTGATTCTTATAATGTGCTTCAGATAATTTTTTACCCCTACCAAGCTTTATAAATGTAATGAACTTATTCTGCTATGAATTTGGCACAGTCCACTATGAATGTGAGAGTTTTAAAATATCAAAATGGCAATACTAAGTGGCAAATGGTACACAGTACACGTCATTTTTCAATTATAAAGACGGGAATATCTAGCTCTCGGGTAACTGTTTAGCGGAAACTCGGCAGAGCCTCGTTACCGCCGTAAACAGTTACCCTCGAGCTAGATATTCCGGTCTGTACCGGCAGCCAGTGTAAGATTCTTATAATGTGCTTCAGATAATTTTTTACCCCTACCAAGCTTTATAAATGTAATGAACTTATTCTGCTATGAATTTGGCACAGTCCACTATGAATGTGAGAGTTTTAAAATATCAAAATGGCAATACTAAGTGGCAAATGGTACACAGTATACGTCATTTTTCAATTATAAAGACGGGAATATCTAGCTCTCGGGTAACTGTTTAACGGAAACTCGGCAGAGCCTCGTTACCGCCGTAAACAGTTACCCTCGAGCTAGATATTCCGGTCTGTACCGGCAGGCGGTGTTTGATTCTTATAATGTGCTTCAGATAATTTTTTACCCCTACCAAGCTTTATAAATGTAATGAACTTATTCTGCTATGAATTTGGCACAGTCCACTATGAATGTGAGAGTTTTAAAATATCAAAATGGCAATACTAAGTGGCAAATGGTACACAGTCTGGTCAGACTAAATGATTTTATGATCAATGAAAAAAGTGAATGTATGAGTGTATAAAGTAAAATAGTAATAAAAAAACAGTTACCTCGGAAAATGAGTTATGTTTAAGATAATACTTCTCATGTTTAACAAGAACATCTGTTTTACTTTTTCTCTCATGAGTTGAACTGAAATCAATTAAAAGTACATGTAAGTATACATTGTAATTAATGACCTAAATCTGGCAAAATAAAACAAGTCATGAAAAAATAAACATTTTAGCTTCTATACTGGTGTAGTGGGGTACTTAATGTTAAATTAAATTCCACAACTTGAAATCACTTTAGATGATGAATTTTGGAAAAGTTTCTTAATTCCTTTTCAAGAAAAGCGTTTTTAAAAGATGACCAAAATTACAACCTTACAATTATTCTGCAATTCATAGACCCTTTATTTTAACTTTTAATCCTTATATATTAGATATACCGATAAAAGATTGTAGTTACCTAGTAACAGAACAGATGATACTTCCCTTCCTACCAACATCAGTATCTACAATCATTCTATTCTTGGACAACTGTTCTTGTATCAATATTACCTTCTCTACACCTGTTATTATACATATATATGTGTACATAAATTTACTAAAACAAAACAAATAAGTATTATTACATATATTTAAAGAAACTGTCCTTGAGTTAAGTATAACAACTGCTAGGTAACAATAATATCATGGAAACTGCAATCCACCAACTATAACTATAAACAAGCGTGATGATATGGAGAACCATTCCTATTGTTAGATAGATATAATAAATGAAAATCATCATGGATGGAATATAAGTTCAGCATTCATTCAATCTTGTGTCAATTATATTGAGTCTTTTTTATGTTCCTGCATTTTACAGCTAATCATTCAAGCATTATCTTGTAAAGAATAAGATCAAGTCATAATTTTAGGGGGCAATTGATTCATATAATTTTTCTTATGTAGTGCATGATCAACTAGGCGATGCTACAACTTTGACATGTACACTATGTGTTCTCTTTTATAAATCTGTATTTTGTAAGAGAACAAATGGCTCAGGTTAACATTTAACACAGGGCTATAATGTACATTGTATAAATCTTTTATAAAGGTAGATCCTATGTAAATAAACAATTCTCATTTTATTAAAGGCATAGACAAATGGACCTATCAAACAGAGGATGGATCATGATGTGCTCTGATAAGTTCCCAGAACACATGTTTTGTCTTTTAGTACAGGAATCAAACAACTGATACCTCTAACAATAAAGTAGCCTCCAGGATCCATCGGACATTCATTTAATTTGGCCATCTCTGCTGGACTCTTAGCATTCAGAACACAATTTGAACTTCGTAACATAATAGGCATCCTACAAAATATAACACTCATATAAATACATATCAATGAAACAAATGAATGCTGGGGAAGCATACAGAATAATACTTTAGATCTTAAAATGTACAAAGCTATATATCTGCTGCCTGTAGTTAACAAAATGTTGTTTAAAACATGCAAAGTTCCAGAACGTTTTATTCTGTTTATGTGCAATTATTCATGTGTGCTTAATATGGCATAATGAACATTTGCTATATATTTTGATATATAGAACAGAAATCCACATTCTATTTTTCACTCAAATTCAAACAGTGTGATATGACTTATATTCCACTGACCATCATATATTTCAAGATCTCATTGAAAAGATCAAGGTAATTATTTTCACATAATGACATTTCTAAAACATTATGGATGTGTTCTAGAATTACAACATACCTTCCTATAGGTAGATTATTTCTGACTATACGCTGGTTCCCTCTAGTGTATTCAATATCAACTGTTATTGGTGCTGAATATGTCATGTCCCTCAGTCGACACTGTATCAAACAAATTTTTCATCATGTAATGTCAGAAGGTACAATACCAAATGTACATTTGTTATATTGTTTATTTTGCAGGCTTGGTTTGATTGATACTGATCATGTATATTGTGGAAAGTAAAAGCTACCATCTACACACCCTAGCATCAGCTTAAACATAATTGTTAATCATTTATCTCAGTAACTTAAAAGTCACAATTTTATACTATGAAAATATAACATAAGAATACTTTTTAATGATTCTTACTTTTCAGCTTTCTACTTTTGTTGTACTGATTTTTTTACCACTCATCATAATTGTTGTGATATTCTTACCATATTTTTGTTGTACTAAGCAACTTTTTAGTGGTTCTCTCAGCACATGAGCAACTACTTTTGTAGTTTTCTTACAACATAAGCATATCTATTTTTATAATATTCTTACCTCATGAGGGGATATTGGTTTGGTGATATTAAATCCTTCCTCCACATCTGGCATGCCCACATAAATGTTCAGATATCTTAAATAGAGACATTTGGTTAATATGAATTCCACATAGACTTTTGTGGTATATTAGTTTATACAGAATTCTATTTTAGTCTGACTGTGTAGGAAGTTAACAGCTTATAGACACACTATTGAATCCATTCCTGGAAACAACCAGTACTGAGCAATGAGTGCAAAATTTCTTGCTAAAGGAAACTATGGCTTGACCTTGACAGAGTTTCAATTCACATGGAAATTGTTTCTTAGATTTTATGTGGTATGTTAATTCAGATAATAATTCTAGTTAAAGCTACATTCATTATATAAAATATTGATAATAATTTAAATTAGTTTCTCTGCTTATACACCCTGTTTATAAATCTGGATTATGCTGTGAACAATTTCCCCTCTTTATGACCCTATCTCCTACACAGGCATAAAAGTAGTCCATTTGCATAAAAACAATTGACTTACATCATGATCTTCACTTAGCAACAATTTTTCAGTCTTTTGGGATGTAATATTTTTTCACTTAATTTAGAATATAATATATTTACTATTTTTTGGCTTATTTGGGATGTAAAATATTTACCACTTGCTTAACATGGGATGTGACAAACTTATGATGTATGTGATATATTGATTTCTTTCTTAACATTTTATGTGATAAATTCTACTGATAAATATGATATAGATAGGTCTACCTATATCTTATCATATTTTGAATATAACACACTTACTTCATGTAAAAGTTAGGGTCAGCATCACTTGTAATCTTATCATTAGCCTTCATGATTTCCTTTATCTGAAAATAATATCAAAAATATCAAATGAAAACTAAAAATGAACTACTTTGATTCTTTCAAATTTTCCTTCTTGCTCTTTGAAAACACTTCAAAACCTCCTAAGTCCTTAGTTGTATTGGAATGTCACTTTTTCATTTCATTATGAAAATTATATACATGTATTTTACACAGAGACCACTGCTGCTCCTCTTCTTTACATTGTTATAGACTAATTGTACTTCTAACATAAAACACTCATCACTGCCATTGACTGAGCAAAAGTGAATTTTAGCTTTTTAATAGGTGTAAATTTATTTGGGAAATTGATATAAAAAGTGAGTTGTTGTTGTTGTTGAATAATGCACTGTTTGACTTCAGATGATCAGTAATATATTTCTGATAAAGAACAAGTACTGTTATTTCTAAAAATTGTATCATATTGATATGGACATCCCTCAAACCTACATGTACACAAGAATTTAACAAGGTCAGGGGTTAAATTGCTTACATCAATGTTCACAAAATAGTTGAAGGAATCTATGTGCTGCTTGACAAGCCCTTTCACCTTGAGGAATGATGGCAATAACTTCCATTTCTCCTGAAAATAGTTAAAACAACCAAACATTTTATAAATTTACTACAAAAATATATAATTTAAACTGTTAAATCAGAAACAAGGATTGAAAAACAAATTAAGGGTCAAATAAAATTTTTCTGGTTTTACCTCCTCATTTCTTTCAAAAGAACTTAAACATGCAGAAAGTCAAATTCACAGAGAGCCTTATTTCATTACAAATCTTTAACCATGAATTTTCTAGGTTCAAAAATGATGTAATTCATTCAAAATCCATATGAGGATTATGGGCCTCATAGTGAATTGAATACTCAATAGTGCTTTATTTTTGTTTCGATTCAAGTCATCCGGTCTGAATCCCAAACACACATTCCATTTCTAAGTAAATAACAACAAAACCACTCTCAGGTAAATATTGTTGATTCAGTTCTTTATTTACATGTATATGTCTATTAAATTGAGTTGTCTATATGATTATTTTCTCTTATGCCCTACTTTGAAGACACATTTCTACGGTCAAAATGTTGAATTTTGTGTTTGATAAAGTAATGTTTATGTGTATTAAGACCCCAAAATCAGAGACACGGATAAATCTTTGTCTCTGCCAAAATCAATTGGGTACAGCGAAAAAACATCATATTATGTCCGTTAAATAGAGAATAACATGCTACTGTCTTTTGATATCAATTTTATCAGGCGAGGCTGATATGGGCTAGAAAGGGCGAGGCTTGCCGAGCCCTTTCTGCCCATATCAGCCGAGCCTGATAAAATTGATATCAAAAGACAGTAGCATGTTTTTCTATTTATCATGTAACACATAATAACTGTCAAAATAAAAAAAATAATCTACTTTTAAACAGCGAATTTCGTAAAAAAGGGGGATTTTTGTTCAAAGAAATAATTCTTGAAAACAAATTCCTCCGCCCCTGAAACTTAGAATTTGTTATTGGCGGCCATTTTTTCTTTCGAGTCGGATAAAAGATACAACAGAATGTAGGCCTGATACGATAAAATTCTTACCTTTAATTTAAACATCGATCCAAAAAATCCACTTAGAATCACATAAACTAAACTTTACTGCAATTTTTGTCTTGAATTGTCAAATTCAAAAGTTCACGATAATTTCAATCAAAGAAAAGTCAAATCGGCAATCAAACACAAGCTATACACACATGCGTCTTATTTTTTAAACGAAACAATTTGTTCACTTACTAAATAATAATCCGGCGAAATAAAGTAAACATTTACAAGTTCTCAAAGAAAATCGTCTAGCCTGTTTGTTATGATTACATGTATAGTATGACGTGAACATCGATGATGTCATTTGCAATAAAAATTATGACGTCACTTCATTTAGTTGGTGCTAAAACTATTCGCTATCTAATTTATTCGTAATTGAAATCGAAATAATAAATATCGCACCTTGATTCAAGACTTGTAAGAGATTACATTGTAGAATTCACATGCTGATGAAAATGAGAATATAAGCAATTGAAAAAAGTCCGTTAAAATGGGCGGGGCTTATTTTTGATATCAGGTTACTGACCTGATATCAAAAATAATTATCAGGCAAGTGTTATCGGGCAGTTACCATAGTAGTTGCATGATAAAATGAAGGACTACCTTATTACATTATTATTATTTATTCCATCTTGATTTGAATAATTTGAATAAAATCTGGGGCTTCAAATAGTAATTTAAGTCCCAGATAAATTAAGATTTTATTATGGCCCAAAGACTTTATATAAATTTTCAATAGTTGGGATATCTTTCCATTATATCTTTCTATGCAACATCTTAACAACCAATATAGTCATATTAATTATGAGTGAAACTGGATGTTTAAGTCTAAAACAGGTAGAGTCGCTTATAATCATTTAAGTACCAACACATAGTCATAGGTCGAATTGGACGAGGAGCGAATCCCTCCTAGTCCTAGCCATATAACAGTTTAAGAAAGAATATCGTACATGTCATTTGTTTTTAAGATTAATGAAATCTTTACCTCAATCTCCTTGACAGGAGCAGCCAACTTCTCCCGGTTTAAATTCGATAGGTCGCCCATACTTTTTTAACAACTTGTGAAACTTTATGAACCCGAAATTATTGCCTTCATGGGGGCAGCCATACTGTTCTATTCAGTTTAAGGATATTTTGTAACTCACAGTATACGGAATACGGAACACCCATGATCCGGTATCGTAATAAATTTTTATTCAATAACATTTATAGATAATGAAATAAAAAACACGCTTGACACGCCTGTTAATTGAAATACACAATTGCCTATACCTATATAACTTTCTTTTCTAGAGCTCTCAACAACTGGAAAAACCTCCTAATGTAATATTCAATCTAGTCATCTTTTTAGAAAGGTGACATCGATAAACAATTAAAATCATACCCTAATATTTTTATTTTCAATACCTTTCACTCTGTTATTTTATCTTTAAACTGAAGCACCTAGTAGATCTTATAATATTTTATATATGGTATACTGCTAACCTCTCGTGCGTTACAGGCAGGAATATCGTGCACATCGGATGCGTTAATAATTAACGGTGTCAGAGAAGTTAAATCCTTAAAAAAATTCAGGACAGTGAGAGACTTTGTTAAGATATTTTTTTATTATAAACAGTGAAAATTAAAAGTAAAATCACAAATTCTGTATCTTAACCACCGCCTGTTTGAATTGGTCAAGATCAGGCAGGGTGACAGAATTAATTGGAAACTGGTTCCGAACGTGATACGTACAGTGTTTGGTAGTTTGAATTGACTAGTGGCTACTAGGATGCCGTAGGATAAATTTCATGAAAGAGTTTTCATTAGAACAGTTTTTATGTTTATATTAAAACAATAGCAAACGAGTTTAACTGGTAAAAATAAATAAATAAAAATACACCAGGTCCCGATAAGTACATCATTGCATGCATTTTCATTCTAAACGAAATGAATAGATGAATTTCATTTTCGCATTTAATTAAAGGTTTGTTTAATTGTACCATTGTTATAAAATAGTTCTATAATAAATTCATTACTTCGCATCAATAATCAATATACAGACCAATGTAACACTTCCCATGTTAAATGTCTGAAACGGACTTGTCTTTTTTAATCGGAACAAAACTATACATCATTTTAGTTAAATTTTTAAAAAAAAAGTACTGACTGAATAGCGTACAGTGCAGTCCATGCACGATCAGATGGCACAGATGTGTAAATTCAGTTGCCGTTAGCAGGGTTAAGTTTGAAATGTTTATACCATGTACCTCTATTTGAATGTTGTACCGATCCAGTCGATGTCCTCAATGGTGTACCTTTCAGAAACACTTCGCATCCAATCATAGATGATTGTCCGTTTAAAAAAGCCGAGGGACACGTTTATATATTTTATATTACGTAACACATTTGCTGCATGAATTAGTAGTAGCAGCAGCAGCAGCAAAAACATCATCACCATCATCATCGGGAATACTAATATTTTTCTTATTACATGTATAAATATTCATCTGAAATAAATTGCGATTCCGATGTATTCCTTGCGTTTCGCCAATGCTATAACACATCATTTCAATATTAAGAAGCACACATACAGTCGCTTACTGACTACTAGTATTTGGATAATTCTGTAAGTATTTGTAAACAAAATCTACTTATTATTCGTTGGTATTTCCCTACTCGCTGGACTACTATCACCGATTTTATTTATTTATTTTTTTTTGCATAGTTAACATAAGGTTCCTCACTGACTGTCCTCAGAATGTTTTTTCGTGTCTTGATATTGATGGTGTTGAGGTCCGTGTATGTTCCTCATCTCTTTTAAAGTACAATCGTAAAACATTGGCTTATTCCGTATACTTCCTATTTACTTTTTATCTATTGCCGAGGAGATCAGATTGATAGATGTTTAATGTGACTGCAAATTTTGACTGAATTATTGCCCTTTGCTATTGACGTCTCACCGGACCTTAGTAAAGAAAAGAATGTACGCAGAATATTCAAGTAAATGATGAGAATTGTTCTTTCTTTTTTAAAAAAATTATTTTAAAGTTATATGGCCAATGAATAGATCTACTTTTGCAGAAAATTGTAACAGAACTAAAAAAAAATACATTTTTTTTTGAGAAATGAAAATAAATGCATTTCGGAACTTTATCTATTTTTCTTGATGTTTTTCACGATTTATTTTCCTTTTATTCTTTTATTCTTTGCTCGATTTTGACCTGTTTTATTTCTGTTTGAGATTTATCTGATGTTTTTCAATACGCGGTGTCGGGTGATCTGAATCGTTTCCAAATTAATTGGAGAGATCAGAGACATAGATATTATCTATGTCTTTTGAGAGATGTTGAAGGTGAGTAATGAGATTTGTTTATTGAAAGTATAATGCCTGCATTTTAAATATCAGGAGAGTGTTATACGTTCTTAAGTACTGGTGAAATATATGAAATTGAAAATATTTCTAACTTTGGCTTGAGATATTTTGTTTACGCTAGCCTTGTGTGTCACATGTTCACACTTTGCATCTTTTTTAGAGGGAAGAACACACTATGACCAGAATCTAATGACAACCTCTTAACGCTACACCCGCGTTGAAAAAAGTACCGTTGGTTGTAAAGTTTACATTAGTTTGGTGTTGTAGTGATCTGTTGATTTTGAAAGCATAGGGTACAACAACAATTGTTGAAATATTCATGTAAATGAAATAAATTATTTTCTTTTAAGTCTCTGTTTTGTGTGGATGGTATTCCATGACATTGAAGCGTTACATGCTTTCTGAGGTTAGTAAAAGCTACCAATCTACCCAAAATGTAGGCCTAAAAATAACATTTTTTACGATTTTAATTTCCTTCCTTTCGCTTTCGACATTGCATTCGGAATGGTTGGGAATAAGACGATGAAATTCCTCCCATGGGTTATTTCAAGTGTGAAGAGGTCATAATTATTTATTAAAATGACCGTATGAATTTATGAACAACTAATATGAATGAAAGATGTGCATAAATGTGACTTTTGCAGATCATTTGAACGGTTACAAGAGTTAACGACAATTCTTAAATGAAAAAACCTTTGCTGCGCTTTCTGCATGATGACTGCATGATGACTAGGATATCCAGTTTGTAAATTATGCTTTTCTAACAAAATTATAATTATTCAGGTATCAGTCATCTTGGATGACGTCACTTCCTGTATATTTACTGTTTCCCATTTCCATTGACGGGTAGCTTCTTAAATTCCTCTGTAGCCCGGTATTTCTTCAAGTTAGGTCGTGAAGCCATGCGATCGTAGTATGCTTTGAGGGTAAGGAATGCGTCTAGGCAGGTAGGGGAGAGTATAACATGAACATCTAGTATATCAAACAGGTTGTAATCGGCAAACGATATCTGAAATATGAGCAGACGATAAGAAAAAAGCCACGATGGCCAACACGAGGAAGGTCTTAACATTTGACTTACTTTAAAAAGATTGTATTCATGTGAGCTGAAAGATCCAAACTATTGTGCCTGATTAATGCCATGTCGTATTTGGAATGCGAATATACGACAGACTTTATGTGTCGTATTTTCGTCCTCCTGTCCTAATTTCGCTTCTTCGCCTCAAAAATACAACAACGAGAAAACATGAAGAGACGACAAAGATCAACTTTGTCTTAGACCTTGTTGTCCCTTCGTGTTTTCGCATTTTGAGGCGAAGAAGCGAAAATACGACATGGCGTAAAACAGCCACCATACCAAGCATCACAGGACTCATCACCACAGTGCTTTGCATGAAATTGCGTATACATCCGAGAGGGTTAACAACATAGGCATGCATGACACCTTTTTTCTTTGACATGTATTTCTTTTCTGTCCTAGAAGACAAATGCATGCATCCGATTCTTAATGTTAGCAACATATAAAACTATTATTTTATATGCATGCTTTTTCTTTTTTCGTTATCAATACAGACTCAATTAGCGCCGGGAGTCGGACTATATATACATATCTGCCTTTTTTTTGCTTATCTACAAATTTATCAATTGAGCCGCGTCATGACAAAACCAACATAATGGGTTTGCGACCAGCATGGATCCAGACCAGCCTGCGCTTCCGCGCAGTCTGATCAGGATCCATGCTGTTCGCTATCAGATGCACAGTCTGATCAGGATCCATGCTGGTCGCAAACCCATTATGTTGGTTTTGTCGTGACACGGCTCAATTTTAAATTATAATTATATACACGTATAGGAAGTAAATGTTTTTTTTATTATGATAAAAATATGAAAACGATATCAAAGTTATGCATTTATTAGCAACATTTGTTTTAATAAAAAATTTAATGATATTATACAAGGCATGATTATCTTCTGATAACATTGTTTTAATCTATAGACATACAACTTACTTTGATGCCAATCCGCCAAAAACCAAAAATGATAAAACTTCGATGGGATAACTTGTTTAGCAATATATTTACGATAACTGACTTTTTCTGTTAGCTATGTACAGTTCTACAACCATACACGAGATGTTATGATGGTTTTTACGCATCATTGAAATTATCTTAAAGGAGCTCCACTGAAGTCAAAAAGCCTAGAACATAAAATTTGAACAACTTATAAAAGGATCAATTGAAGCATTTAAAATGGGAAAATCTGCTAAGGATAATCACGAAATAGGCTAAGAATTAAATTGAAATCGGTTTTTTGTGCGATTTAAGTCCGATTTTGAACGAAAACGTTGCAAGGCTTTTCATTTTTGAGTCATATCAATTGAACAATAGCAGTGATGATTCTGGAAGAACAGGGCGAGGAAATGATCTGAAAAATTTCTTACAATATATCGGTCCAAACTTAAACCAAATGGTAAATAAATCCAAAAAATATTTCTAGTCCCGTCATGTTATAAAACATAATTAAGTGGAGTCCCTTTAAGTAAAAACATTACAATGAAAACATACCTTTGTTGAAATGTATTCAGCTCCCCACTTTTTAAGCAGGTTCTAAAGAATAAGAGAATAAGTTATCAAGTTATATAAAGAACATTGGCTGGATTTGATAATGTAATATAACAGTGTAATATATAGAGGATATTTGTTTGTTTTGCATGTAAGATTGAAATATAATTTCACTGAGTGAACACCAGATGCAATATTTTCACGAGTGGCGTAGCCACGAGTGAAAATATAATAGCTGGTGTTCACGAATGAAATATATTTCAATCTTATATGTAAAACAAATAAATTTTCTTTTTATTTCATGCTTTTTTAAGTGATTTTAAGTATTTTTTACTGATTTTGCCGCGTAACGTCGCGTATTCTCCTTTGTGACGTCATCACATCATGACGTCACATCATGAATTTTGAAACATAGGCCTGTTAAATTTCTGTAATTGTGCTACATTTTTAACATGATGTATGATGACATCGACTTCCTTTTCTTAATGAAGCAAAATTTACGCATGACGGCATTTATTTCTGCCTGTTATTCCATGTAGTTTTGATTTTCTTTTCATCCGCATTCAGATATAGTCCGGCTACAGTGAAAATTATATTTTATAAATTTCACTAGTGGTTTATCAGAATATAATCATCTGATATATTACAATAAAACACTGGAAAGCATGAAATAAAACAATGTAATATAATAATGTTATGTAATAATGAAATGATATAACAGTGTAATATGACAATCTAATATAATAATGAAATAAATACACTAGTATAGAAGTGTACATGATGCAGCATACAATATGCCATTGCGATGAGTGAGTAGAGTAAAATTTAATCATTTTTGAAAAAAAAATGTTCGTATAATTTTTGAATAATTTGACCATTTTGCTCAAGCCTGCAAACTGCCAGAATCGAATATTTCATTGAAAAGTGAATATGTAGTGCGACATACTTCGACATATCCAAGCTGTACGATAGCAGTTTTCACATAGTCATCTTTTTCAGTATCCTGAAAAAAAGAAAATAAACATTGAACGTACATTTGTAAATATCTCTCTTACACGGAGACTACGATCCCAGATTGTTTCGAAAACTTACCATGAATGTATTTCATAATATTATATTACACAAGGCTTTTATAGCATGAGTCAAAAAAAAAAACAAAAAAAAACAGCAACAGATACTTCTTGTTTATTATTCCGCCTTGAAAGCAAAGAAAATATCAACGATTAACACAAAATAATGTAATAACATGAAATAAACTGATGTCTTATAGATACATTAACGCTTTGATTACTTTGATATAAATGGTTTAGTCCAAATTAAGATATGGACAAGTCCATTTAAGATACACGTATCTAGCATAGTAAGGGTGAAGAAAGAAGGTTATTTCAAATGAAAGCAAGATATCCCCAGAGTTATTAATAGATTGATTTAACTAAAAATTAACATTGTTCTAGACCATATGTCAGGATTGTATCATAATTTTGGATATTTACAATCGCAACATTTCGACCCTTCGGGTTATGCTTAAACGTCGATGTGTTCCGATTGGGGATATTTACTGCTAGACCGGATACTGCTCGGCCGTTTCACGTCTCTTGCAGTATTTTGTCCTTTTAATGGCCCTTTGGCAGAATAGAAGTGCACTTGCAATGAATAGATGTTCTTTCAGTTGAAATTTATTACTTACGTAACTGTAATAAATCATTTTAATATACGGCTCTCTGATGTCCTCAACGTGATCGGCAATCATATCAACCTTGGCTGCTTCTTTTACATCATTCGGGTACAATCCTGTTAAGAAATAAAGAAAACACGTGTAAACTTTGTCAATACCACATGCCTATGTCGCGAAGACAGGGACTAAACACGCATACTTGTACATGAAGTCATGGAAGTCTGAATGCAAGGTGCACTAGTTATGTAATTTGTATTAACATGTTGCAAAATATACGGGATATAACTTATAACCGATACACGATTGTTGCATGAACGTACACGATATTTTTCTTAATATCTGAAACTTTAAACTGTTTCAAAAAAGTGATCGTGATCTTTATTTGAAGCTTGCATAGTCTGTTTTTGAGTTATCAATTTTTTATGAGCATCGTCATGAGTTAGACTAACAAAAAGACCTATGGTGGCTGATTTGTGCTATTCCTTTTTTGAGCTATTTGTGTTTACTATTTTTTTGTACATGGGCAATTACGATTTACAGCTGAAAATAAATTCATAATTAAGAACTCCTTCCAATTTCTATTATGTAAAGTCATATATTGGTTTCCCCTTCGGTGATTCGCAGCATGTCGTATTAACGAATGAGAATGGCTACATGAATTCGAAAGGTATAAATAGCTAGATGGCATTAACATTGTGAAAGTCCGAAAATCTATTTATTGCTCCGCGCCCACAGATTTTGTTCATTTTAACTACTATTTTGTTTGTTCCAAAGAAAATAATTAAATATTCTAATCTTTAATTTAGCAAACCTACCAAAGTTTATGATGAACAATGTCTTTTGTCCTCCCATTTATCTTTGGCATACAATTCTGGTAAAATCCAATTAACCACTGAAAACTTTATAAGAATATCTAGTCATCAGATGTCTTCTAGTTTATCGTCATTTGCCGCATTTCTTGCTTGGACACCCTTTGATGCTTTGCTTTGCTTTGCATCAATGCTTTTCTTGTTATATCATGATTTACCATTTCCGCGAAACATGCAAAGGACATTTTGAAAAGTAAACATTTGTACTTGTCCTTTAAAGGGTATACACACACCTTATGTATGAGGTTGAGATAGCAAGAATTTGTAATGGTTGCCCTAACCCCGGGGTACGGAACAAACTTAAAATGGCCATTTTAACATTCAGTCTTCACTAAGCGCAATTACCGTTCGAAGCCAAACGTTTTGTCTATCACCTTAATGTGATTAACATTTAATCAAAGGTTTGTGACTGAATAACAACTAATATTAGTTAAAATAAAAATTAAATTTGTTATTATTTTTAACTTGTCTTACTTTATGTCACCTTAATAGATTATTGCGTCACCGATCTACAGAAGTATGTAATATGATGGGCTTGAATATGTTTGATCTATTTAATGAGATCTTGACATTTTATCTGGCAGACAACGAAGACTTTTGTTGTCACTCGAGTAATCGAGGTCACCGAATGAGATTATTTACCTAGCCTTAGATATAAAACACATTATTTTACTTTAGATATAAAGCACATTACCTTACCTTAGATATATAGCACATTATCTTACTTTAGATAAATAGCACATTACCATACTTTAGATATAAAGAACATAACCTTACCTTAGACATATAGCACATTATCTTACCTAAGATATATAGCACATTATCTTACCTGAGATGTAAAGCACATTACCTTACCTTAGATATATATTACATTATCTTACCATGTTTTCTTCCAAGATACAAGATATAAAGCACATTACCTTACCTTAGATATATAGCACATTGTCTTACTTTAGATATAAAGCACATTATCTTACCTTAGATACATAGCACATTATCTTACTTTAGATATAAAGCACATTACCTTACCTTAGATAGATAGCACATTAACTTAACTTAGATATATAGCACATTATCTTACCTTAGATATAAAGCACAATACCTTACCTAAGATATATGGCACAGTATCTTACCTTAGATATATAGCATATTATCTTACCTTAGACATATAACACATTACCTTACTTTAGATTTATAGCACATTACCTTACCTTACATATATTACACATTACCTTACCTTAGATATATAGCACATTATCTTACCTTAGATAAATAGCACATTATCTTACCTTAGATAAATAGCACATTATCTTACCTTAGATATATTGCACATTATCTTACCTTAGATATATTGCACATTATCTTACCTTAGATAAATAGCACATTATCTTACCTTAGATATATTGCACAATATCTTACCTTAGATATATGGCACATTATCTTACTTTAGATTAATAGCACCTTATCTTATCTTAGATATATGGCACATTATATTACCTTAGATATATAGCACATTATCTTACCTTAGATATATGATACATTATCTTACCTTAGATTTATAGCACAATATCTTAATTAGATATAAAGCTCATTATCTTATTTTAGATATATAGTACATTATCTTATCTTAGATATATAACACAATTATTTACCTTAGATATAAAGCACATTACCTTACCTTAGATATAAAGCACATTACCTAACGTTAGATATATAGCACATTATCTTACTTTAGATATAAAACACATTACCTTACTTTAGATATAAAACACATTATCTTACCTTAGATATAAAGCACATAACCTTACTTTAGATATATAGCACATTATCTTACTTAAGATATAAAACACATTATCTTACTTAAGATATAAAACACATTATCTTACTTAAGATATATAGCACAATACCTTAGACATATAGCACATTACCTTACCTTAGATATATGGCATATTTTCTTACCTTAGATATATAGCGCATTATATTACCTTATACATATAGCACATTATCTAACCTTAGATATAAAACACATTATCTTACCTTAAATGTAAAGCACATAAGCTTACTTTAGATATATAGCACCTTATCTTACCTTAAATATAAAGCACATTATCTTACCTTATATATATAGCGCATTAACTTACCTTAGATATATAGCACATTATCTTATCTTAGATATATAGCACCTTATCTTACCTTAGATATATACTATAGTACATTATCTAACCTTAGATATGTAGTATATAACATTACCTTAGATATATAGCACAATATCTTACCTTAGATATATAGCACCTTATCTTACCTTAGATAAAACAGCACATTACCTCCCTTAGATATATAGCACATTACCTTACCTTAGATATACATGTATAACACATTATCTTACCTTAGATATATAGCACATTACCTTACCTTAAATATAAAGCACATTACCTAACCTTAGATATATATCACATTATCTTACCATGTTTTCTTCCAAGATACCTAACCTTAGATATATATAACATTATCTTACCATGTTTTCTTCCAAGATAACGCAGAATAGAGCTTGAATAAGCCACTTCAAAGTCGCCATCTTTCAATAAAGGCGCTTGACCAAATGGCTGAAAAAATACAGAAAAAATAGAAAAAAGACCAGAGGTGTTTATCAACTATAGTTTAAGGCGTGTTAATTTCCGCAGAAAAATGGAAATTGTCAGTCACGAGATTTTCTAATTTGGGAAAATATTTGTCTGTAAAATTAAGAAAATGTTTACCAGCATGAATGATGATGAAAATTATCAATCATGCACAATTCTCAGCTTTGTTTTGGGAATTTTATTCATTTAATTCTTTTATTTTATCTATTTACTTACATTTTGTAATTGAGGAAAATTATTTGTATTATTCGCTGGGGATAACAACTAGACCATGGTGAATCTTGTAGAAGAGGGATTTCCTAGCATCTGTGCGTCTGACTTCAAGAAGGCGGAGCTGAAAGGAATGGACCGTAGTCTAGCTTGATCCCTCGGGCTGCTCCTCTTTTACTAGACTGTAAACATTAATCATGTATAATACATACCATCTGCGGTTTATAGGTTTCGAACCAGTCCTGTCTAATATTAACTTCTTTAAAGTCGATCCCATTATCCACGAAGAAGTACCTAGTTGCTTGGCCACGCCCTAGAACGTAAAGAAGTTTTATAAAGACTTTCAAAATGTGTTTCTAGTTATGCGAGAGAAATAAAGTAGGATTATTTGTTTTTAGTCTTCATTGAAAAATAAAATCTAAAAAAGACAGGTATCTATAAGGTAAAGTTTGCCATTACTTTCATACATTGCTTGTTACCGCTACCAAAATACAACTTCTAATGGGGACTTCTTATAGCGTCCGTGCGTAAAGATTGGACTAAGAAAAATACATCGCCCATCCAAAATTTATCCAGATGTCCCTTTGACAAGCGTTGTAAGTTGCACTTAGGTTTAAACATACCTCTGAGAGGAAAATATAACAGTTGATAGTTTGTCACTGAAAAAATAAAAAAGTATCTAATACATGTATAGATTAATAGTTTCGAAAGACCTACTCCGGAACTGAAATATTTTGGAGTTTCGAGGTAATCCGGGGGTACAGACTTTTAAGTAACAACTTTGAAAATAAGTGCAAGATGTTTTGATTTGTTTTGATTTGCTATACACGAAGAAATAACTTATATAGATGACACGGCAATAAAGTATTAAAATTCATTAATTAAGAATTATGCATATTTGTTTGCGAATGTGCGTTGTGTTTAAAACACACTTTTGTATTTTGCGTTTATTAGTATTACTAAATAAAAACTTACTTGCTATCGCCGACTGTACCCAAAGTGTTTGAGTTGCATCGTATCATATCAGTGTACGTATGTATACATGTTTAAGGCCAAAAAATTAAAAATGATGTTATAACGAAATCATTTACCATGTCTTCCGATCCTATACAATTTCAGTCAGTACCTTTACTTTAATTAATGATCCTGTATGCTATTATTAAGGTTGTTACCACACTTAAGAATTATGTACACTATTATGCTTCTAATACAATTTTCAAACATCAAAGAATATGTAAAATATGTACTGCAAATATTTGTCTACATTATATGTAACCATTAACATATATGCATTCATTTCTTATTGAAAAAAATGACTTAGACGGTATAGAAAATAAATTTCTAATTACCTCCCCATATTAACATGAAATGTAAATTCGGTAATATCTTTACAAATAATGCTTTTTGGAACTTACAATATTGATAAATCTTCATTTGGGCATTATATTTATGATAAAATGAGTTACAGGATCTTTAAGGTCGCTGACTTCAAACTACTTGCCCCTCACTGACTATCGACACATGACCGTTACAGTGTTTGTGCGAAATTAAACCCAACCAATATATTTTAACTTGAGCCTTTCTTGTGATGTCAATATCACTTAGATAACATTATCAATTAAGCGGGATATAATTTCATATTTTGAAACCATTGACACGAAGATTAAAAATGCTCTACATATGAATGGAATCTTAAACAATGAGTGCAATGTCTACGAAAAGTAACAAATGCTTGGTAGTAACTTTGTTAATATCAAAGTTACCTCGCCTTGGTCAATGCCTAAAACTGATGGTTAACAGATGCACCAAATAAAGACAATATCATTACCGAAAAACTAAGCAAGAATTTATAAAGTTCGGTAATGCATGCATTAATCGTCAAGCTTAAAAAGGGAAATACATGTACCTAGATAATTGTACTTCCGTTTGCTTGTTTTTTGCTATATCACAGACGTCGAATTAAAGGGTTATGTATAAGTATATGTTTGGTACTGATGATAAAATTTTTTTTACTGCATGCCTAGTTTAGTCCTAAAATTTTTCTCCTAAATGCTCCCATTGGGACTCCCAAACAAAATTTATCCATTTTTCAGGCTTAAAGAAGAACGTTTTGTTTTTAAAAATTACATCATGTATTGGTGCGCTACAGTTTTTTTTTTTGATATTCTTATTAGTCGATAAAAAGCACTCAACATGTCCGCGATGACGTTAGTTTTCCTACCCATTGATATGGATTTAAAAATATTTTTAGAATCCATCCTTTGCAAAAAGTTCTTTCACAATAGTATTAAGAAACTACGTAAGCCTATTGAGGCAGTTTTGAATCAGAAGTTAAAACTTAGATGTTAGATCTTGGAACTTAGATCTTAGAACTTAGGTCTTAGCTCTTAGAACTGAAAGGTTCATATACGTAAGTAAATGGATGTGTGTATTTCAAAATTCCAATGGACTGTAAGTCTGATTCCCATCTATTCTCACTAAAATTAGTATCAAAGTTATTTTCAAAACATTACTAAAAAACTATAGGTTCTTAGCAGTTGTTTCTACTGTCTGTATCCTCGTATAGTCTAAAAAATTAACGAAAATCACACTTAACATTATTGTTATAATATGTTTCTATTGCTTATATTGTAAAGCATCAGTCAAGCCGCCACCCTTGGGGAAGAATAAACAAAGAAGAGTGGATGGGGAATGATCCTTGTTTTGGCGTTTCATCTGTCTTTTCTTTGCCGGGACAATGCACTGCCGTCTTGGTGCCAAAATGACCGTGGTTTGTCCAAATCGTTTTGCGGATTTATAGTTTCTTCCTGTCCCAGAACGTAGTTTTTACCTGAGGTTTGAAAATTTAATAGTCAAAAGTTTCCGCTATTTTATATATATGATGGGACCGTGGGTGAAATTGACTGGTGCATACTGTTTCAGCAAAATGCTGTTTTTAATATGACGTATAACATTCACTTTCCAGGGATAGTTCTATACGTTATAACAGTAGGGCTTGTTGATGGATGTTTTGGGGTCCTTGTACCAATTATGACCGCATTACTGATAGGAATAGAAAACAGTGTAGTAGCTTGGGGATTCCTGATAGAGACATGCTCGATTACATTCACACTGGTTGCAGGTAAACGCTTAACCCATAACCTAAGGAAGTTGTGTATTTAATTTGAACAATTCATTCAAAGCTAAAAGGATTAATTTCAATATCAAGTTGTATGCAGAAAAGAGCCAAGTCTGAATGACCAGATTTACAGTCTGGCCTGGTTCTATACTGATGTCAAAAGCTAATCAGGTTAAGAGATAAATATTGTGCACAATTAAACAAATTCTTATAAATGTCTAGTATTAATTAACATGCTTTTCAGTAGATTGCTGAAATACATTTTGACAATAATAAGAATATGAACGAAAGTTCTTCATGTGAGGAACTTCTATAACTTTGATGGCTGGAAACTTGTTTTCTGTCTGATAGCACGAGATTGCGAATTTCACCAGGTATGCTGTCTATACCCTCATATACCGGTATTTAACCAAGGGCCATTGATTCGATAAAGGCTGTCAATTCATAGCAATTATTTTAATCTATCAAAATACAAGCAGTATGATATCACAGCAGTCATATATAATACACGTATTCTTGCAACTTATGAAATGAAATTTACGGACACGCAAGCACATGTTCATGTACTGTTTTATGAATTTTAACTTTTACATAAAAAAGTATAATATACTGGTTCATTTGTTTTTTACACAAGTATCTTTTTTTATTTATTCAATGTTGTTCTCCAATTGATATACTGCCAACAAATGATAAGCACAGTTGCTATGTTTGAAGAGCCGCCAGTTTTATTTCTCTTTGCAGGGGCTCTGTACGATGTAACAGGTTCGTACAACATAGCGTTTCATTGTGCTGGAATACCAATCGTCCTGGGGTCCGTTATAATTTTTCTAATCCCATGGGCTCAGCGCACATCTAAAGGAACATATGGTCTTGGTGCCCTTACTGAAATCACGTTACAAGCCTCCAGTCAAGATGGCCCGAGTAGTGTATTCCGTACAGACAGCGGAGGTACCATTTGTGGAGATGAAAAAATCGTGAAATCCGTGCACATAGGCTCAGTAAATGCAGCTGTACAGACGATGATCTCTACCCTAGTCAGCACGATGTATTTTTCAGGTAATGATAGATTGAGGCTGAAATATTTGTAGGAATCATAATTAAGAATGAAATATTCATGTGATGTTAGAATTAAACATAATCTAGCATAACATAAATATACAGGTATTTAGTACGTGATATACAAGTACAGGAATTTGAAGGAATAACAGAATAATACAACTGCTTTTTCAGATGATTAAAGCATACCTCTATCAAACTAAAGCTAAGCAGTATAGCATACACTTTATTCTTCTAAGCATATCAAACATTGCGCTCTTGAAAAAAAAAATGGAAATTTTCTTTCCTTAGTAAGATATATTCCATATTATCTAAAACAACCATAGGGGTGAGTGGTGAATAGTTAAGGTCTTCCTGAACTAGTATAGCTTGAATGTCGCCATATGACCTTTCAAATTGTCAGTGTGACTTTAAATCAAAAGCAAACAAACACAATCTGTATAAAGACAAGTTATCAATTCCTTCCGTTATAGATGAGCCTAACAACCTAACTTATAGTAGAACTTCACAGACTGAAATGATTGGCTTGCTGGTACAAATATAACTGTTTATTGGAGTAATCAATTAACAGAAACCCAAGAGCCTTTGACGACAGCCTGTGTGTGATTCATCTTCTTGCATATTTCATATAATAATTATAGTTTGAAAAGAAATAGTGAAAACTAATATTTCTATCTGGCACTGAGAAAAGTTAGCAGCTTGTGTGCATTAAATGACTTCATTCCGTTACTATTATCACAAGATTCTAACTTGCTGAGAGACACTTTAAAAAGTCCTACTCCATGTTCAAGTAAAATGGAAGAAGCAGAACTCGAATTTAATCTTGTGGCGGGTAGTTCAAGGCCAGAGGATCTTTCAGCTTCAGAAAAATGTTTATCCCTTTCTTTGAAAAAGCCACAAGCAATAGCCGGGCCATCCAACTCATTCCTAGAGACAGAATCTGCCCGGTCTAAAAGTTCAACTACCCAGCTCATTAAGGAAGCCATGCAAGCAAATGACATGTTCTGAACATTCATATTGGCAAGCAGTACACAAGTGAACAGTGACAACATTTAAAAACAGTGATAATCTATTAATAGTTATACCAGCTAAAAATCCATTCGCAACACACAAATCTAGCTAGAGTCGTTCAAAACTTGAAGAATTATTTAAACCAATCGCTGAAGATGACAAATTTTCAAAAGAAAGTATCATATGAAGTGCTTAATACAGAGTCTGGAGATCAGGTTCAAGAAACCTTTAGTCAAAGTTGAATGTGTTTACTCATTTATTTCAAGATGAAGAAACACAATAGAAGATGTGTCACATGGAGTAGATGAAATAAATCAAAGGTAAAAACGCTTCAAGAGCCTGGAAACACATGTGCAAAAGACACAATCTACAAAGTTCACAATGCCCAGGGAATCAACCATGATTGCATTCAAGGTATTGTGTATAGTCTATTAAACACAGCAAAAGTAATTGAGCAAAAGTTTCCTATATAATGTATATGTATTTTGATTAGCGCTGATTTCTCACATGTGCAGCGTATGATTTCTCATATCATACTTCAAATGCTGGTACTTTGATATAGGTATTTCATAGCATCATGACTGATAAAATGTAATGTTTGGAAATTGGAAATACAATAAAAGTCCCAAGGAATTAAATATATTTTCTTTTTACATGTTATTCATTTGGATCATATTACAGCTATTTTTTTTTCTTTTTAAACGACCAATAATGCTCAATACATGGTAAATTTGTATTTAGCTTTCATAATTTTTAAAGCGATGTCGTTTCTAGTAAACCAATACTGAGCAGGTAATTTTCACGATTTCGAGAACTAACATGGCATTGTCAATATAGCCTACATCTTACAGGT